TTCACAATAGCTAACACAATAGCTAATTCACAATAGCTAACTCTAAATGGCCTACATGTCTACCAATGAATGAATGGGTAAAGAAAATAGGGTGTATATGCCCTGCTTAGTACTACTTATCCATAAAGGTTAAATTCTAGTCATTTGTAGGAAAACAGATGCATCTTGAGAATGTAAAACTAAGTGAAATAAATCAGATTCAGTAGGTTAAACATCAAATGATTTATATGAGAAACCCAACATATAAATAATTGCTTTGTTTTATTTTGTTTGCAGTACTGTGGATCAAACTTAGGACCTTGCACTTGCAAGGCAGGCAAGCTAAATCCCTGGTCCCCAACATATAAATAATTGAAAGAGCAAAATAAAAGATAAGTGATAGGAAACAGGGAAGTAGACCTTATCTACTTTAGGGAGAAGGAAAGGGTAAAGTTGCAATCTGTGTATATGTATATATGTAGTACAAACAGAAGAAAAGAACTGTTCTCAAGCATTTAAAAAATTAGTTTAGTGCCGGGCGTGGTGGTGAACGCCTGTAATCCCAGCACTCAGGAGGCTGAGTCAGGAGGATCGCTGTGAGTTCGAGACCAGCCTGGGCTACATAGTGACTTCCAGGTCAGTCTCAACGACATAGTGAGACCCTGTCTCAAAAAACCAAAAAAAATAAATAAATAAATTAGCTTAATTTTTTCCCTAACATTTTAGTATTTACTGTGTTGTAGGTGCTATGCTAAATACCCTGGATATAATATGCAACACAAGACAGGGATATTATTGTTGCCACCAAATAGGTAAGGAAATGGAGGCTCTAGGGAGGTTAGACAATATGCACAGAATGGGCACATTCTTTGCCACATGGAGGAAGTAATGGAATGCTAGTCTGTCTCCTCGAGAGCCCTGTCTTTTTACTGCTATGCTGTTTGTTTCCCCTTGCTAAAAAAAGAATTCAGAGAAAATACAGTTCCCACAGCAAGCTGGCTTTCTAAAGAAGGCCAGCAAGCTGGCTCCCAAAAACTCTCCTAGGACACTGTTGGTGAATTCACTCAGGGTTTGACCCACCTACAGTAGGTAAGCTAAAATCTCTCGGGGAAAAAACAAAATTTACCAAATTTTTAAGGCTACTAGATAAAATCAGAATACAAATTAATTATTTTTTATAAGAATTAATTTAAAATATCACCTGAGCACATTTCAATGAACAGTACGTTTTCTCCCTATATAGAACTAAGAAAGACAGTTCATAATCATCATGCTTGATGAATATGAAGTCAGAACAAATGGGCTTAGTTTGATGGTTCATACAGGTAATGGCACCAGAGTTTTATAGCCCAGCCCATCCACATCCACTGGATGAGAATATTTAAAGACAGCAGTCTTCACTTTATTTCCACAATACAGTTGGACTGGTTATTTGAACCAGGTTTGTATCGGATGGTTATTTTACTAAAATACTTTAAAATAGGAAAAGCCTATAAAATTAAGATAACGCTAGTTCCAACTTTTGACACAAGGGCATGTTAATACTCCTGCCTCAGCCTCCCACGTTCTGGGATTATAGGCATGTGCCACCATGCTTGGCTATTTCCAATTTATTATTATTATTTTTAAGGAATTTAAGTTTGGAGGGTTTGAGAGGGTAATTGGCTAATAAATCTCTTGATGCTTCATAGCAGCTTGAATGAGTTTATATCCCCCTCCAATAACTCTACCAATAAGCTGATTTATGTAGCAGGAAAAATAGATTATTTATGTTAGCTGCTTGGCTGGCTAAGTAGTCGCTGTCTCAGCAGTTGACTTTCTCGACAAATAATTTTTACCCAGCATGGTGGGCACATCCCTGCAATCCCAACACTCAGAAGACTGTGGGAGGATCACCACAAGTTTGAGGCCAGCCTGGGATACATAGTGAATTCAGGGCCAGCCTGAGCTACAGAGCAAGACCCCGTCTCAAAAATCAAACAAAAAAATTCATTTCTATTCTGGCAAAATGACTGGACTGGAAAATATAAATAAGAAGAAGTCCTATTCTGGTTTTTCCATTCTCCAAAACAGGCTAAAATTTCTGTGTCCTCAGTACAAGTGGGGTGCTTCTCTTGTCTATCTCTATTTTGGTTTAGTAAGTGGTCCTATAGGCTTCTAATCACTAATGAATTATTCAACACTGCTGTATAATGGGTAAACAAGAAGCTAGAGTGGTGAACAAGATATTCCAGGTTGTGTGCAGATGGAAGATGAAGGCAGTCAAAGTAAAGGTAGGCGGCATCGGCAGCAATGGGTGATGTCACTGAGTGCTTAGTAAGTGTCAGGCATCCTGCTGAGTGCTCACACCTGGTTCTCGTCACTTCACCCAGCAGGTATCATCCATAATATCCTCATTTGAAGATGACGGAACTGAAATGTAGGTGAACCCAGTACCCTTTCCAGGATCGTCCAATTAATACACAGTAGATTCAGGATTGAAACTGGGGTTCTTCATAATTACATTATGATCCATTAAAGAATTTTCCCTAGAGATCTTAGAGCTTTCAGCTCTTAGACTGTAAATTGGATTCAGGTTGCTTTTCTGACTAAACCAAAATGAAACTGAAGCACTAACAGGAGGACTTGGGGAGTTCTTTGCCACTTCAGGGACTTAAACATAAAAAAACTAAAAGAATGACATAGTCATTTCAGAAAGTGATGGACAGGACATATATACTGAACAAGAATAAGGTAACTCTAGTAAGTATAGCTCATCTATAAATTGTATAAGACTGAATTATTTATTCCACATCTATGTGTGCCCACCTTTTGTAGAAAATCCAAATGACTACTCCTTTAAGATATTGCGATGGACCACTGCCTGCCTTAAAAGCTCAAGGACCTGAGTTTGATCCCTGCTACCAAAAAAAAAAAAAAAATTGCACTGGAGAGGGCTGATAGGAGAGTTGTTGTTTTTATGCATGTGTATTTTTCAGCTTTATTAAGTTATAACACAATAAAAGTACATATTTATGAAGTAAATATGATGTTTTGCTATATGAATATCCTGTGAAATGATTAACCAAGCTAATTAATTAAATAGACATTTTTTGCCTCATGTATTTATTATCTGTGTGTGGTGAGAACAGTACTGTCCATCAATGTTCAAGTTTGAAATACATCATGATTAACTGTACTCACCATGCTATAGCACAGATCTTCAAAACATCTTTATCCCAGCTACAACTTTGTACCTTTGACCAAAATCTTTACTTTATGACCCCAACCCATCTTCTATCAACCAATGCTACTCTTTTTTTCTATGCATTCAACTGCATGTGTGATCATGCAGTATCAAGTTGTTTCACATAGCATAATGTCTACCAAGTTTATCAGTGTTGTGGCAAGTACCAAGATTTATTTCTTTTTAAAAACTGAATAACGAGCTGGGGATTTCGCTCAGTGGTTCCACCACCTGCCTTGCAAGTGCAAGGGCCCAAGTTCGATTCCTGGTACCAAAAAAAAAAAAAAAACTAAATAGCATTCCATTACATATGTTTATACCACATCAGTTCATGAGTACTTAGGGACAAAGTTTGACATGGGTCTTGGCAAAGATTTCTTGGCTATGATCCCTAAAGCTTATGTAACAAAAGCAAAATTTGCTATGTGTGATGGCACATATCAGTAATCCCAGTACTCAGGAGGCTGAGGCAGGAGGATCACTGCAAGTTCAAGTCATCCTGGCTACATGGTGAGACCCTGTCTCAAACAAAACAAAACAACATAAAAATAAAAAGCAAAATTTGATAAATGGGATTACATCAAAGTAAAAACTTGCCCTAGCAAGCACAAGGTCTGGACTTCGATCCCCAGTACTAAAAATAAAAGTAAAAAGCTGCCTAGCAAAGGAAGCAGTCAACACAGTGAAGAGACAACCTACAGATTGGAGGGAAATATTTTCAAACATATATCTGGTTAGCTCAGTGATTCTGCCAATTGCCTCACAAGCACAAGGTCCCGAGTTCGATCCCTAGTACAAAAAAAAAAAAAAAAATGGGCAAAGGACCCAAATAGATATTTTTCAAGAGAAGACATAAAAAAGGCCAACATTATATGAAAAAAAGTTCAACATCACTAATTATCAGAGAAATACAAATAAAAAAAACAACAAGATATCACCTGACTCCAGTAGGAAAGTCTGCTATCAAAAATGTAGAGGATTTATTGGTGAAGGTGCAGAGGAGGAAACTCTTGATTATTATAGATGGGAATGTAAATTAGGCCAGCCTTGGGAAAACAGGATGTTCCTCAAGAATTTTTAAATTTACCATATGATCCAGCAGTGTCACGTCTGGGAATATACCCAAGGGATATGAAATTGGTCTATTGAAAAGATTACCTGCACTCTTATTTTACTGGAGCATCATTCACAGTAGCCAAGTTATAGACTCAACCTAAGTGTCCATCAGCAGGTGAATGGATAAGGAAAATGAAATGTATATGACAATGCAATACTGTTCAACTTTAAAAATGTGTGCTGCCTCTTTCTAGTAACTCGAGAACAATGAAGTGTAAAAAGGAAATTGAGGAAGTAGGCTAAAAACTGAAAATCTCTCACTAAGTTTTTTCTTTTTGCCAGTAAACACACTTGTGCATGCACTCATGTACTCTGCACACACACACACTTGCTGCACAGGTTCACACACTGACTCTAGCGCTCCATTTTAAGGGATGTTTTGCTCTAAAATCTTCATGCTTCTGTTGCCCTTTGCTGATAGGGAAAAACAAGGTTAAGTGTGTATGTCTCACTACTTTTGTTCCCATAACTTTCCTGGTATTGTCACTCTAACGTAACAAGTGCTAAACTACATGAACATTAGCAACTATCCATAAATGTAAATTTGTTGTAGGTAAACTAACTCCAAAATATGTTCATAGGAATAACCTCATTCTGACAAGCCTGGTTCTTACAGTTTGAACCCATGTTTTACCAATATTCTTTCAAACATGTTTCTCTTTTTAAATGTTTGCTTTAGTATCTCTCATCTGGAGAAAAACTAAAACATGACCAGCAGGAGGAACTACAACAACTTCGCCAGAATTTGCGTCGGCTTCAAATCCTTTGCAGCTCAGCTGAAAAAGAGCTTCAATATGAGAGAGGGAAGAACTTGGACTTAAAGCAACATAATAGCTTACTTCAGGAAGAGAGCATTAGGGTAAGTCTAGCAGTACAGTCTTTTCTGAAGGTTCTTGGCGGACCTGAGAATAGATGAGTCAATAAATTCCACAACATTATAATTTACGATGGGATCCGGGACGGATGGACAAGGAGTTACTTGGTAGCTTCTTCCTTTAGCTTTCTTTTCATTCCTGAATGAGAACAGAGTTTTGTCATTTCTCCTTGCTGAAGGGGATATGTATGCTATCCACCTATAAAAAGAAAAGTGGGAGGGCTACGTTCCAAGTTCAATAAAGACTTGTTTTTCCCCCTTTAAAAAAAAAGAAAAAAGGGGTTTGGCTGGGGGGAGGGGTCCATACTGGGGATTGAACCCAGCCAGCGCCTTCATACTGAGCTATAGCCCTGGTCATTAACTGATGGATTGATTGATTGACTGACCGATTAACAGGGTCTTACTAAGTCATTAATTTGCGTAGGCTGGACTCAAACTTGTGCTCCTGTCCCAACCTCCCAAAGTGCTGGAATTACAGATGTGTTACCTCATACCCAGCTCAGAAGTAGTTTTAAAGTTACTTAATCTTTTGAAATCATTATCTAAAATCATTATCTAAATCTCAGTGATGTCCACATATACATATAAATGTTTAAAATAAAACCACCTCATAAAATACTGCCTCCTTTTAATTATGGTAAATTATAATGGTAATAAATTTTATATTAATTTATTTACATTTTATTAAATATACACTAAGACTTGGTTTCTGTGAGTCCTTAAAGCTTCTGGAATTTAACATTCAACAAATAAAAACTAAGCCTCTTGTAGACACTGAGGGCCAACAGCAGGCAGAACAGACACAATCTTTATCTTCATGGTGCAAAGGTCAGAAAACTTTGGGCTATAGGCAGAATCCTGTCTGGTTCCTTTTTTTGTAAATAAAGTTTTATTGTCACACAGCCATGTTTGTTAGTTTAGTTTTTGTTTTGTTTTGGTTTTTTGAGACAGGGTCTCACTATGTACTTGAGACTGACCTAGAACTCACTGTGTAGCCCAGGCTGGTCTCGAACTCACAGTGATGCTCCTGCCTCAACCTCCTGAGTGCTGGGGTTACAGGTGTGCGCCACCACGCCCGGCTCATGTTTGTTAGTTTAAATGTTATTTATGGCTGCTTTTACGGGTTTTTTATCATTTAGATAATACAAACTTTTTTAAGTTTATTGGTACATTTTAGGTATACATTATGAACACATTCACCATTGGAGATTTGTACCTACACCTGATATATCTTGGTTCTTATTTTTCCCCTTTCCCTTCTCTCCCTTCAACCCCACCACCCCTCCCTATTTACAAAAGCTTTGTCTCTATTTCTTCCTTCTTTTCTCATTTTTTCCCTTCTTCCCTTCCCCCCATCACCTAGTTCCCCTTCCCCTTTGAACATTTTCTCCCTATTTCACAATATCTATTATACATTTTGGTCCTCATTTACACTTTTAGTTTCTTACACCAGAGAAACAATTCAGCATTTACATGTGTGTACTATTTATTTCACTTAAGAGTATGGTCTCAAGGTGCATCCATTTAGCTATAAATGACTCTAGTTTGTCTTTCTTTGTGGCAGAGTAGTACTCCATTTTACAGAAAAACCACAACTTTATCTAATCACCAGGTGATGGGCATTTAGGCTATTTCCAAGATTTAGCTATTACAGACTGTACTGCCTGTTGTATAGGACCTCTAATCCTAATTTTTTGAGAAATCTCCACACTTATTTCCACAGTGGGTGAACCAGTCTGCACACCCACCAACAGTGGAGAAGGATTCTTTTTTCCCCACAGCCCCTCCAGCATTTGTTATTGGTTGATTTCTTGATAGCAGACGATGGCAGATTTAAGTACTTGTGACAGAGACCACATAATTCACAAAGTCTAAAATATTTACTACCTAGCCCTTTATGAGAAAAAGGTTTGCCCACCTTGGACTGGGGAAACAAATGGATCTTGTATGAAAATGGACAACAAGAATTCCTGCTTTTCTGGAACTAATAGAAGAGATATAGAGGAAAACAAATATTAATTTATCTCAAACTTCTAGGAAACCTTTCTAGGATTCTAGGATTATCAGAATAAACCTCACTCCTATCCTTACAATTAATGAGGTTTGTTTTTATTGTTATTGTTTGTTTTGGAAACCAGCTTCTTCAGAGTTTTAAAATTTTTATCATATTCCCTCAAGCCTTTATACAGTTACAGATTTTTAAATCAAATACTAAAACTTTCCCAGCACACAGCTATAGTCCCACTCCTCAGGAGGCTGAGGAAGGAGGATCATGAGTTCAAGTCCAGCCTGAACTACATAGTGAGACTCTCAAATAAATTAATTTAATTAAATTAAATTGTGTATATACTTTTAAAAATAACAATAAATTCTAAATCTTTAAAAATTTTTTTTTTAATTTTTATTTTTGGCACCAAGGATCGAACTCAGGACCTTACGCTTGCCAGGCAGGCAGTGGAACCACTGAGTTAAATCCCCAGCCCAATAAATTCTAAATCTTTATCACATTTCCTTGTATGACAGTCTTTCACCTTTCCCTTCAATCTTAGATCATTTTAACATTGAACATATTCAAACAATACATCTTTCTTGAGGTACAGTGACCAGAACTACACAGATCATGATGCTTTCCATGACACTGACACTCTATACATATTTGTTGAGGTGGGCCTGGTGACACAGCCCTGTCATCTCAGCTCTCAGGAGGCTGATGCAGGAGTAAGACTAGAAGTTCAAGGCTACTCTGGGCTACATAGTGAAACCTTGACTCAAAAAAATCCAACAAATAAATAAATAAATAAATAAATATTTGTTGAGTCAGTGAATGATCTTTCCAGGGTGGATAAATGATAGCTTGGAACAAAGAGATTTTTTGAGGGGGTACCAGGGATCAAACTTGGGGGTATGAAGAGATTTTTTTTTCCTCTTTTGAATCTTCCTCTGAATGTCTGATACCTAAATAGCATCATATACATTAACTACTTTTTATTGATATTTTGTTCGTTTTAACTCTTATAAGCTTCCTGGAAGCCTTGATTATCCTGGTTACTTTAGCCTCATATAAATATTGATATTTAAGGAAGAAGATATTTTTCACCTTGTTTTTCTTGTTCTAGGGTATCTTAGCTATTCTTGGCCTTTTGAAGTTCTATGTAAATTTTATAATCAGTTTGTCAATCTACACATACTTATCTACACGATACTCATTGTATATTCAAAAATATAACTTTTTAGGATTTTAGTTGAAGTTACATTGAATCTATGTCAATAGGGGCAAAATTTAAATCTTTACAGTAGTGAATCCTCCAACTTATGAAATGTATATGTATATTTGGGTTTGTAATTTCTTTTCATATTATAATTTTATACATCTTTTATTAAGCATATTCCTTTATCATTTGCTAACTCAGATTCAGTATTTCATCTGTGAAATAGGATACAATATGAAGCCCAGACACTTTATAGATGTGAAAACCTAACAAATGTAAACAGTAATAATAGTATGTCTCAGTTCTATTCATCAAATACAGTAGATATTCTACAAGTGTTACTTGAATAACAATTAATTTTATTAGGTTTTTCTAATGTGTCTGGCTCTGTTCTTGATGCTCCAATTGTTTTGTCTTAATGCAGCTTCACAGCTATCCTGTGAGGTGAGTAGTTATTATCTTTGTGTTACAAATGAAAAAGAAACTGGTGCTCCAAGAGAGCACTATTAACTTTTAAAATCACTCAATAGATTCTTATTGGTTAACACACACTAGTCACATATGGAGATATCACAACTATAATCCCCATCAATTCAGCTGAAAAGTTTTGAAACCAAGGAATTCTATTTCCCATGTGGACAAAGTCCATCCCTCTCAATAATTTTATCTGTATGCCTTCCCTGCCTGGTATATGTATTCATCAGATTCTCTTTTTCCATAGGATCTTGTGCATATTTACCTGATCAGTAGTAATCCCCTACTCTCTGGTACTCTGATAGGCCTGGGATATTGAGAAGTAAATAAAAAACCCAGCCCCTTCTCTCAGAATTGAAATTGAGGAAGAAGGGTGATAAGTAAATAAATGCATGCTTAATTATAACTTGTGATAAGTTCAATGAATGAAATAAATGTGGTGTGGAACAGTAATGTCACAAATAAGGAGACATCTTCAGATTAAATGATAATGAAAATTTTCTCTTGCAAAGTGACATTTTGACTAGGGCCTACAGAACAGACAGGCAACCATACAAAAGGAGAAACCATTCCTGGCAAATGGAAGTGTGGAAGTGCATGGGAAACTGAATAGAAATCCATGTGACGGGAGTTTCAGTGGGAGAAGAGGAAATAACAAGATGGCTTTAAGGAGATAGGCAAGGGCTGGGTCATACAGGGCAGGTGAACTGCTGGCATTTGTTCATAGAATGACAAGATGTCACTGATAGATTTTAAGCAAAGGAATCAAGATCAGTTTGTGTTTCTAAAAGAACAGATTAGATAAGAAAATGGAAATGACAGGGCCAGTGAGGAAGCTCTTGCTACAGCCCAGGCTGTAGATGACGATCTAGACCAATGGTGGTGAACCTGTGGCACACACGCCACTGCGGGCATGCGGAGCTGTCTCTTGGCACTCAAGCCAAGTCACCCCAGCAGCTGAGCATTGGATATCACTTGTTTTTTTCTAAAGTAAAACCTAAGTTTTTGGGTTTAATTGCAGTGTTGCCACTTTGTGATAAAAGTATTTTGAGTTACAGTTCGGGCACTTGGTCTCTAAAAGGTTTGCCATACCTGATCTACATTATGGTGCTAGCAAAAAAGACTCAAAGAGATTGCAGCCACGTAGCTGTGAAGGTAGTGTGGCAGCATGTTGGTAAATTATGGCAATTGGCTCCTGGTAGAAACGGGACTCGCAAGGTGACTTTCTGGTTTCTGACCTGCATGAAAGGTTGGATGGTGGCTTCATTTACTAAAATCAGGAAGACTGAGAGAAGATGACCTTGGATATATGGGCAAAATTAGTTTAATTTTGGCAATTAGAAGGATAGGAGAGCACGACTTTCTGAGATGGAGGGAGGGAATGCTACTCAGAGCTGGGGATCGAACTTAGGACCTTGTGCTTGCAAGGCAGGCAGCAGAACCACTGAGCCAAATCCCCGGTCCTACACTGGGCTTATTTTGACAGTGGGGTGGCCACTGGCATAAAGTTACATTGACTAGTACAGATGAAATCCACCTTGGAGTAAATTAAAGAAAGGATGGAAAAAGGTTTAGATTGTGCAAAACTAGAAACTCTTTAAAAATTCCTTTGTTTAGCTGCACCCTGACTTAATGAACTCTGGCAAACCTTACTAATGCATAGCTACTCTAGAGACGCCATCAGTCGTATTCGGCGTTTGGGAAGCTGAGCTCCTCTGAAAGCTGCTCATTCCAGCTCACATTTCCATTCATCCCGTGCTTATGTTTATCATTCCTATTTATTCCCCTCTTCCAGATCAAACTTGAACTAAAGCAGGCCCAGCAGAAGTTGCTAGACAACACAAAGATATGCTGCTCTCTCACGGCAGAGTGGAAGCACAGTCAGCAGAAAATCAGGGAACTGGAGCTGGAAGGTCTAAAGCAGGCTCAGAGCATTAAATCACAGAACAACCTGCAGGAAAAGCTGGCTCAGGAGAAATCAAAAGTTGCTGAGGCAGAGGGAAAGGTAATTACTGTATCCTCATGCTTAATCAACAGCATGTACCAAATACCACTACCGAAATCCTGTTTCCCTGAGGATTTTAAGAACTAGATATAGTATAAACCTGATGGAATACTAATTGATATGAATTGTTTTTTACTCCCCTGCATATTTTTCCTGATGTTACATTTCACCTGGTCCTACAATTCCAGTAAAGTCTTTAACTGTTTTTGCTCTTTTTATTTTATCGGTACATTTTAGATATACATAATAATAACAGCCAACAGCCAGGCATGGTGGTGCACGCCTGTAATCCCAGCACTCAGGAGGCTGAGGCAGGAGGATTGCTGTGAGTTTGAGACCACCCTGGGCTACACAGTGAGTTCCAGGTCAGTCTCAACTACATAGTGAGACCCTGTCTCAAAAAAACAAAAACAAAATAATGATAATAATGATAATAATAATAATAATAATAATAATAATAATAATAATAACAGCCAACATAGGGAATGTATACATGTATATGATATAACTGCTGTTTTTCCCCATCCCTTCCCCTCTCTTCAACCCCTCTTCCTCCCTTTATTTACAAAAGCTTTGTTCCCATTTTTCCTTCTATTCCTTTTGTTATTCTTTCTTTCCTTTCTCTCTCCCTTCTCCCTTGTTCCTCATCTCATCTGAACGTTTTATTCTGTTTTCAAAAACTGCATAAATTTTTAAAATGTAAGTTTCATGAAAGCTATGGTGTTAATTAAACAAACTAACTGCTGTACTTTTCAAATTGTAAATGACTTATTTTCCTCTCACTTGGATTGGTTGATTATATGATTTTTTTAATTGTGTAAATTTCTAGAAGGATTTTGGTTGTAAAATGAAGCATTATGAAATACTGCCTTTGTGTTTTAGATTGTCTAACACCAGGTGGCAGCAGCATATAACAGTTACACATTCGATATGCAGCTTTGAGATCAAATCTTAGACCACAAAGCATTTCATCAAACCATATACATCAAATAGGTATCAAAAATACAGTAATAACAATATGAATTAAACTTTAAAAATCCAATGTTAGGGCTGGGGATTTAGCTCAGTGGTTCTGTCACCTGCTTTGAAAACGTAAGGACCCAAGTTCAATCCCAGGTACCAAAAAAAAAAAAAAAAAAGGAAAAAGAAAAATCCAATGGTAAGGCCAAGTTTGAAGCTAGTCTGGGCAACATTTCAAGACCCTGCCTCAATATAAAAAAGGCTGGAGATGTAGTTCAGTGCTCCTTGGGTTCAATCCCTAATACTGAAAATAAGATAAAGTAAAATAAAATAAAGTTGTGCAGATAGGATAATGGTTATCTTTATGAGGTTAAAAAAAAACAACAACAACTAAGAGGCATGAATGAAGGCATATTCTGTGGTGCTGGAAGTATTCTAATTCCTGGTGTAGGTGGTAGTTATACAAGTGAAGCTTCATTGAGCATTCCTAAGAGATGTACAACTTTACCATGTGTATGTTATTATGCCATAAAAAATCAATAGAGACAGATAAATTCTTAAAAATAGATACATTAAATATCTGTGAGGATTTAGGGTATCAGGAACTCTTATATACAGATTTCAGTTGGAAGAGAAAGTTAATATATAGATGTACATATCCAACCTAACACATATGCCATTTCACAAAAACACTAGAAAAACTGCTACATTTCACATATGTATCAAGAGACAGGAATACAATCTTGTTCACAGCAACATTGTTCCAAGTGGCAGAAAAGCACAAACAACCCAAATGTCCAAATTCCACAAGATGGAATAAATAAATTGTTGTATATAGGTACTCGGTACTTTATGCTGTAGTTCAATATAGAATTGATTTTTTCCCCACTAGACTGAGTCAAACCTGCTATCCACCTCCCTTAGCCTCCCAGAGTACTGGGATTACAGACATGTGCCACGATGCCTGGCTTGAATTTTTAAACATCACCAAAACAACAATATGATTCCATTGTTTTAAGAAAAAAAATCAAACTAATATAAAAACTATCATATAGAGAGGTATATTATTTTCTAAAGAGTAGGACATGATTAACATACAATACTTCTCTCTTGTGGGTCAGGAAGGAGTTACCAAAATCTACCAAAGTAGATTTCAGAAGTATTGGAAATGTTCTCCTTCTTAAACTGGGTGATGGGGTCAAAAGTTTGGCATGTGTCCTTGGCAGCCAGTGATGGGATGTTTTTGTTTGCAATTAAGACAGAAAATCTTTCATTACAAATTCTCTGGCTAAGAGTGTAGCCCAGGGGTAGAGAGTTCGCCCAGCATGCACGGGGTTCCCCCCAGCGCTGTAGGTAACACTTCCTAGGCAGAACTAAAAGGAGCAGCCCCCAGGAGCTTGAATTGGCCTCCTGCGGCCAACAGCCCATTGCCATTGCCCCAGGTCATTCTGCACCTTCACTTCTCCTGTGCTGTGTAGGCTCTGCAAGGACCTAGATGCCAGAACTTGGAATCGATGCAGAAAGCCCTGCTCTTAGAAAAGGGCTACTTTAGCTGGCATTTGTTGAATAGCTGTGTGGTGATGTGGTACCAAACCATTGTAAAGGATTCCTCTGCTGGGTCAGAAGTACATTAGAGGATGAACAGATACCTTACTGAAATCTGTTCATTCAACAAATATTGGTTGAGCATCTACTATGTACCAGTCATAATTTTAGGTACTATAGGGGTCTATGAAAAAATAAGTAAACAGATTTTAAAGGGAGATTTGTATAGCAAAACATGTTTTTAATTACATTCTTGATCTAAAATGTAAATTCTAAAATATAATTATTTCAAATTGATAGATTTCCAGTTCTACCAAGGCATTAAAGAACCTATTATTGGTGATAGATGTATGTTAATAAATACTTGGTTTATAAGAGACTTCTATTTTATTTTGAGGTGATATTCATCTAGCCACACTGGAGACACTGGGTGCTCTCAAGCATTGCTTTTAGAACTGGAAGTATAAATTAGTCTAATACCTCTGAAGGCATTATGTATGAAGCAAACAATTCTAATAACCTTCACCCTAGAAAACTGTATCTTATCACTTATTCTACCAACATTGTCTGTAATAGCATTTTTATAATAGCAAAAGATTGGAACTAACCTAAAGGTCCTTCAGTAAGAGGCTGGTTGAGAAAGGCTGATATATCCTTACAGTACAGTAGTGGCATGCAACTGTAAAGGAGAAGACAACTCTCTGTGCATACGCAGTATGGACAATACCATGTACATCGTTATTTTTAAAAGCAAAGGTATATAATCATATATAGCATATTGTTATTTATATGAAATGTATGTATGGAGGATAACTATATAATATCTGTGGAAAATATACTCTGGAAGAAATATCTGTGGAAAAAAATATTTCTGAAAAAAAATATCTGGAAAGCTACAAAAAACCAAGTAACAATGGTTACCTATTTGGTGGAGGAAAACTGGGGAAAATGGGATGTAGAGGAGAAGAATTCTTTTCACTAAATAGCTTCTTTTATTGCGGCGGGGGTTGAGACAGGGTCTCACTATGTAGTGAGACTGACCTGGAACTCACTACGTAGCTCCGGCTGGTCTCGAACTCACAGCAATCCTCCTGCCTCAGCCTCCTGAGTGCTGGGATTACAGGCGTGCACCACCATGCCTGGCTCAGTAGCTTCTTTTATATGTCAACATTGAATTATATGAATGTATTACATAAACCAAATATTAAGTAATTTAAAGTGAAGGGTATTCAGGCGTTGTGGCGCACACCTGTAATCCCAGCACTTGAGAGGCTGAGGCAGGAGGATCGCTGTGAGTTCGAGATCAGCCTGGACTACATAGTGAGTTCCAGGTCAGTCTCAACTACATAGTGAGACCCTGTCTCAAAAAACAAAATATAAATAAATAAATAAAATGAAGGGTAGCCATACTTCTTACTTGGTCAGATTTGTATATGAGCAGTGCTATGTTTGACAGCTATATGCTGTTTCTTTAATTCAAACAATGATCTCACTCATACTAAAATTTTGCTTATAATTTTTTTCGTTCAAGATTTTGGACCTGCAGCAGAAATTAGAATGCGCTCGTAATGTCTGTCTCACAGACACTTGTACTCTGAGAAAGAAGCAACTAGAGGAAAAGATCAATGAAGCAATAGAAAATGAAGCTAAGTTAAAGCAGCAGTACCAGGAAGAGCAGCAGAAGAGGTAGGAGGAGCAGAGAGCTCAGGGTGCATGGGTTTGAGCAAAACTGAGTTCAAGAGTAATGTCCCCTTCCTGATTCAGCTTCATTTTCTGTCTCTGCTGAAGTAAACTCACTGGTACAACTTTTTGTCTTTAGCCCTTAGCAAAATGAAACTAGTTCATTTTCTTGGTTAACTTTGCTGCCAGCATGTGGGATGCCAGAGGCAGTTTTTCTCTTCTTGTTCTGGGACATACCTAGTGCACAGGTAAATTTTCTTCAGTGGGGGTTGCCTACAAAATATGATATTCTGAGATTTGTTTTTCTAACCCCCTGATGTGATTGGTACAAATTCAGACTACAATGAGGTTGGTGTTTTGTATTTACCTGCTAATGCTCTTCAAAGTGCTTCCAGTGACTTTATAGGCATCTTTTTGGTTTTCTGAGACAAAGTCTTACTATACAGTTCAGACTGGCCTTAAGCTCACTATGTAGCCCTGGCTGGACTCGAGCTCTCAAAGATCCTCCTGCCTCAGCCTCCTGCGTGCTGGGATTATAGGAGTATGGCACCATGGCCAATTTAGGTATCTTAATCAACAAACGGGTACTAGATAAGAGCTGTCATTTTTAATCTAAAATTATGGTTACTATTTTGATTGGTATTCAAAGCATCTTCTTGGGTGCCTTAGTCTTCTTTGACCAAAATTTCTTATTTGTATGCTATGCAGAATGACTCATATATACTCCTTAAAGTCCTTCTGTGGCTCCCCATTACTCTTAAGTGAAGTCCAAACTGCTCACTGTGGCTTGTTATACTCTGTACTAACTATGCCTAGACTACCATTCTGTACTCTTTTTTTGCCACTCCTCCCACCATTTTTTTCTAGCTAGTGTGCAGTAAGTATCATATATAAGATACTCAATATAGCATTATTTATAGTAGAAAAAAGTATGAAAGCCGTATTAAGCCAGACAGTAGTGGGCACCTGCAGTCCCAGCTACTCAGGAGGCTGAGGCAGGAGGATCAGTTGAACACAAGACCTCAAGGCTAGTCTGGGTAACATAATGAGACTGTCTCAAAAACATAAACAGAAGACATTATATAAATTATGTTATGTCTGTGAATATACAAGTGGATTATGCTTCTCCAGAGAAATAGAACTAGTAGAACATATTTAATTATAAGAAGAGATTTAATGCATTGGCTCATATGATCAGAGGCTAAATGGTCCCACAGTGGCCACCCTGCAGGCTGGAGAGCTGGGGAAAGCAGCCGCTGCTCAATGCAGGAAGCCTTGGAATAAGAGGCACCAAGGACATAACCCCAGAACAAAGCCAAAGCCCTGAAACTCCCCCTGGAGAGCTGCTGGTGCTAGTCCACATTCAAAAACTGAAGACCCTAAAGTTTGATGCCCAAGAGTGACAGCAGCCAGGAAAAATGTACCACTCAAAAGAGCCAAGCCTGCAGGAGAGCAAGTTTCTCTGCTCCTCCACCTTTTCTTCCATCAGGCCCCAGCCTTTTAGATGGTGCTGCCCACATTCGGGGCAGGTCCTCCCCACTCAGTTCACTGGCCCACGTGCCCTTTTCTGGACACCTCACATCTGCTTTACCAAATTTTGTTTCTTTGTACCAGGGATTGAGCTTGGGACCTCGCACTTGCAAGGCAGGTGGCAGAACCACTGGGCTAAATCCCTGGCCCCCAATATATATTGAAACAGTGAGACCAACCAGAAAGGGCAAGGGATGGGAGCCAAGAAAACAGCCTCTCTTTTTCACTTTTTCCCCCTTTGATATTTTTTTTTTGTACAGGGGTCCAACTCAGGCCCTTGCGCTTGCCGCTTTACCAATTGTTTAGGCATCCTTCAAGGTAGTCGAGTTAACAACCCAAATTAACCATCACACCATGTAACAGAATGCTGTACAATTGCTTACAACAGTAGTGTACTATGAAACTATCAATCGGTAATAAAAACCAGAAAGTCCCAAATATTCAGAGATGACATATTTCTTAATAACACATAAGTCCAATAATATTTCATGAGAGTTAAAAAATATCTTGAACCAAAATGACAATAAAGATACAACTTACAAAATTTATAGAATACATCAAAAGCAGAGCAACTTTTACCACTGAATACATATAGATATTATAAATGGAAAAAAACTTAAAGTCAATAAACTAAGCTTACACCTTAGGAAACTAGAGGAAGATGAGCAATAAACTCAAAAGCAAACAAAAGAAACAATAAAAATGAGAGTACTAGTCAATGAGCTTGAAAACAGAAAAAGAATAGAGAAAATCAATGAAAGCAAAAGGTGGTTCTTTGAAAAAAAAACTGAGAAAATTGGCAAAACTCTAGCTAGCTTAACCAAGAAATATACAAATGACTAATACTAGAGATGAGACATGGGCTATATGTACTGATCCGTGAATATTAAAAGGATACTAAAGGACAATTTCTATCCCTACAAATTTGAAAACAGATGAATGGATCAGTTTCTTGAAAGACATAAATTAAGAGAAACAAATAATTATAATAGGCCTATGCAGTATCATCATAGCACACATCTGTCCTCCAGGAGGCTGGGATGCGAGAGATCACTTAGTTTAAAAGCTCACCAACAGTCCTGAAAACATAGCAAGACCCCAATCTCAAGAAAAAAAAAATTGAATCAATAGCTAATAACCCTCCAAACCTAAAGCAGGAGGTTCAGATGGATTCACTGGTGAATTCTACCAAACATTTAAGAAGGAATATCACTTCTTGCAATTTCTTCTAGAAAATTTGGAGTCAGGACAGTTTCCAAGTAATGTTTTGGGTTTTTCTTTTCTTTTCTTTTTTTTTGGTCCCAGGGATCAAACTCAAGACCTTGCACTTGTGAGGCAGGTGCTGTGCCACAGCTAAATCTCCAGCCCTCTAACTGTTTTTAGGCAAGCATTACCCCAATACCAAAACAAGATAAAGATATCACAAGAAAGGGAGACTGCATGGGCAAATCCAAACTCCTTAAAGTGGCTTGTGAGGTTCTGTATGACAGAGACCTATCTTACCTTTCTTGTCTCATTGTCTTGCCACTTTCCTTATCCCCAAGCACTTTTTTCTGGCCAAATGAATTCTTTCTTACTTTACTGAAGAAGATGATGATAATACTAGTAATAACAATAGCATCAACTATTACAATAATGCTGTTGTAATGTGTTGACGTGGCTAAGATAAACATGTTTCTCAGTAGTCCTTCAATGAATGTTTCTGGTTGGAGTAGACCACAAGAGATATATCTGTGCAGAAGGGCAAAAGTGAAGCATTTTGTTGTTTATGCATAGCAGGTTAGAGCAGGTGCTTTTGCAGTTCACATATTTGCACCTATCTGCCACTCACCTTGATGTGAGGCAACGGGCAGGCCAATAATAGCTCTACCTGCCCTTAGATCCTCCTTCAACTTCTCCCTCTACTGGGCCAGGTGTCTTCTGAGATCCTGAATAGGGATGGCAGCTTTTCTTGCAGAATACCTACTTTGTCAAGGTTGAAGGCAATGAGAGCTGGCATGGGTTCCCATCCGTCCTCATGGACTCCAGTTTGTTGTTCTTTCTACTTTATATCCATCTTCACTTCTTGGTGGTCCTATAGACTTTCAGCTCCAGCATAGGACACAAAGATGACAGCCACACAGACTATGAAATCAGCACTTGCAGTTGCATTAAGACCCAGTTCCTGTAACACATCTCTCAGGCTGGTGAGGTGGTTCAGTGATGGAGCACTTAGCTAGCATGCATAAGGCCTTGGTTTCAGTCCCAGCATTGAATGATGGAGGGAGGGAGGAAGAGAGGCAGGCAGGCAGGGAGAGAGAAAGAGGGAGGAGGAGGAAGAAGAGGAGGGAGAAGAGGAGGAGCAGGAGAAGGAGGAGGGAGGAGGAAGAAAAAAGGGGGAGGAGGGTGAAGAAGGAGGAGGAAGAAGGTGAGGAAGAGGAGGAGAACAAAGAAGGGGAAGAGAGAGGAGAAGGGAGGAAAGAGAGAGAGAAACATAATCAGATCAAAATTTAGGAGGAACGTTGGCTGCTATATAAAGAATGAATTGGCAAAGAAGCTCAGTCAATAGGGGAAAACAGGTGTCATATAAATTGCAATTTCTACTAGTCTTTAATTTTTAAAACTCTCTATATAATGTATGAACTAATTTCTAACATATTCCTGAGTTGCTGTTTTAATTTTGACTTCCTGCTTTTCAATTGCAGTTTTTAACTTTCACGGCCTACCTCTTAGTCTGGTTCCTTGATCAGAAACTAAAAATGGAACCAAAAAGAAGAAGGCACAATAGCCGGAAATTGCTCAGATATACACACAGTACATTAGATAAAACAGAAATGGCAGAAGGAATGTTGGTATAGTGATGGATGGGAACAGTACAAAGTAAGCTACAGTGTTCATTAGAGACCTTGAATGGATACCAAGAGACACAAGAACTAGGGAGAGACAGGTATAAGCCCATGTCCTGGATATAAATCTTCACAGTGATCTATTGGTTTCTCAGAATACTGAAGTTAGAGAAAGCAAACTTACTCGTTCAATGATAGTATTTTACTGCCCTAGCATATAGCTGAGAATTTTGGTCACCAACACTAATTCATCACCATCATCATCGTATTCTTCAAGATGAATCTCCTAAGTCCAGAGAACTTTGGTCAGAAATCCTCCAAAACTCTTTCCACAAATGAGACTAATGAAACTCATTCTGAAGGAGTGAAGTGCTAATGGCATTCTTTTGGAAAAGAGGTAAATTTCCTCAACAAATGTAGGCTCACTGAACCAAGATCTGTCACATAAGGGTACAAGATCCCAACAATGAATGTAACTGTACTGTATACTTAAAAAGTACCAATAAACTCAATAAGATTTTTTTAAATGTAGGCCAATTCATGATTCAGTTGTAGCACTCTTTATAACTGCAAACCCTAGACTGAACCCACAAGATCCAGAGCTCAATGCATAAGCACTGGAAAAGAAGGAATATGGGATCCAGCTTATCCTAGCTGTTCTCTGGGCCACATTTTCCTCCTTTCTGAAATAAGGAAAATTATTTCTTCCTCATAGGGTTGTTAAGAGAAGCTTCTATCATAAAGGAGGTTCCCTGTGTTATTCCCTTTATTTTATGGACACATGCCCTGCTTCATTGAAATAAAAAAAAAATCCCCTGTGATGCCATACAAACTTTAGGTCTGAGTTTCACTACAAAATGTGGGGATACATGGTGTGATTTAATGTGCATTAACTGTCCTCAGGAAACTCCTAGATCAGAATGTAAATGAACTACAAAGGCAAGTGAGAACCTTACAGGAGAAAGAGAATCAACTGGAAACGACCAGTTCTCAGCAACAAGAAGCCTTACTTAAACAATTGGAAAATGAAAAAAGAAAATGTGATGAGGTAAGAAAGTAAACAGATATGTCTTGAAGTTTTCCTAGTCAAACAGATCTGAGTAGTAGTGACTTATGACTGAGTGCCTAGCACTTGACTCATTCAGTTTAGTCATGGGTCTACCAGGAAAGCGTAATCTACTGTGGGTGTAATGAGTGCCAGAGGAAGAGAAATTGTTTCTTTCTACCTTGCTAGGTTCTTTGGCTGGGCTACAAATGAAACTGACATAAGACAGAATAATTTTAATTATGTACACATGCAAAGACATAAAAAAATGTGAGACTGAAGAAGAGTCTGGTGATTGAAATTTATATGACATCCGGAGCTATGGAAAGGAATGAGGGCTTGGGCCTCTGGGGTATGATGGGGACGAGTTATGGGGGTGTGTGGAGGAAATGTATGGTGAGTAAAGACTGTCTTGTATGAAAAGGAGAGTCTCTTAGGTATAAAAGGTGCCTGTGGCAGCTCTCTTTCTAACACAGATAACTTTTACGGGTACAGATTTCCTGTATAAATGTAAATTTTTTCTACACCAGGACAGCTTTTCAGAGCCACTCCTATGTCTACAGTTCTTAGAATGACCAGCTTGAAATATGGCAAAGAAGTATATTTTGGGGTGGCTCATTACAGTCTCCTGTTGGGGCACGTGTTGGGGTGGTGTGTCCTGAACCCCAACATAAGCTAGATGGATTCTCACAAAGCTGTTGGAAGGGGACAGCAGGGGAAGAAAAAAGATCAGAAGGAACTGCTGTGGGCTTTCCATAAATCCACTTCAGAAGCCATTTCCTGTGGCACCAAAGTGAGGGATCTGCAGGACTCTCCTGAACCCTCACAGTGGGGCTTTCTGCCCCATCTGCCTGCTAGTGCTAGAGGCGGAAAAGGGAATAAAAACTGGTTTTTGTTTTGTTTTTTCTCTATACTTACACTGTATCGAGCTCCCTCTAGCTCTTAGGTTCTTGTTTTGGGGCAGTGAAGAGTGAAGCCAACAAAACAGCACAAAGCAAGCAGTGGGGAATGACCGAAGAATAAAAGGAAAAGCTCCCCAATTGTCAGAGGGGTTCCATAAGGTGGACACCACAGATGCTTAAATCCACTGGCTTTTTATACAGTTTTGGTATAGGCGAATGTGACAGAAAGCAGGGATGCTGTTCATTGCTGGTAGGCCTTTGATGTCCTGAAAGTAGGCTGCTTTATTTGTATTTTACTTTCTCCCAGGGCTTCTCCCATTTGCTTAGGACCTGTTTTTTGTCCCTAGCAATTCATTAGGCCCTGACAGTCAGCTTGCTTAAGTTAATTACCTGAGACCTCTGTTATGTTAAATCACTTAAGCCTGGACTTTTAGTTTACTTCGGGTTAACAATCCAGGACTTGTGCCCTATCGCCAAGCCTTTTTTCTGTTTCCTGGCTTTAACACACTTCTGACACCAGATGTACGGTTTTTCCCCCCACACCAAGCAGCTCTTCAATTCTGTGTTCCCCATGGGTGTGCACAAGTTTAATCCAATTCCAACACATCTTCTTGGAATTAGCATTTGATTCCTTTAGTTAAGGGCTCCATGCCACAAGGCTGTCCCACTCGAGATGCCAATTGCAAGTCCAGTTTTTTGCCTGTGTTTCTGACCATTAGCTATACATCGGCTTTCTATAGCCCACTGTCAGGTTTGATCACTTGTTGGAATAGCTGACTTACTAAGTCAATTGCTTATTATAAGAGGATACAACTCAGGAACAGCCAAATGGAAGATATGCATAGGGCAAAGTAAGTGGGAAGAGCCCTGGAGCTCCCATGCCCTCGAGACACACAGCCCTCCCTGGGCCTCCAGGTTTCAGCCAGCTGGAAGCTCTCAGAGCCCTGTTGTCTGGGGGCTTTAGGAAAGCTTCTGGCTTAGTGTTCTGCTTGAAAGCAGCTTGGAAGTCATCACCATTTTATCCCAACCACAAATTAAAAGGTGAACAGGGCCAGGGATTTAGTTCAGTGGTGCTGCCGCCTGCCTCATAAGCACAAGGTCCTGAGTTCGATCCCCAGTACAAAAAAAAAAGCTGAACAAACTGAAAAAAATCAACAACTCTTCTTCATCCATGAGAGGAATGAGGTCACAGGCTACCCCAGAGATTGGAGATACCGCCGACAAATCTAGAGAATCTACCAAAGTGAGAAATAGTCCCTGGGTAGGGCAACCTGAAGTATTAATTGATGAATTATTGCAGGCTTGGTATATATAAGTCTGAGAGATAGAAACTCCAGGGGATCTAGTCATTATAGGGCCCCCATATTTTGTGAGTTTTGCCTCCTAGTGCTAACCAGATTCCTACAATGAATATCTGAGAAAAATTCCCTTATGCTCCTGGCAGGGGAATGGGAAAAGAATCATTTTGAGCTTTCATTTTATTTTATTTTTACTTTGCAGTACTATAAACTAAACCCAGTCCTCTTTTATTTTAAGACAAAGTCTTTATAAACTGCTAAGTTGCGCATGCTGGACTCAACCCTGTGATCTTCCTGCCCTTTGCTCCCCAGGGTGCTAGATTATAGACATGCCCCACTACACCCAGCTCATGCTGAACTTCATCTTCTTTTATCTTTCTTTCTTTTTTTTTTGGTGGGGGGTATGGGGATCGAACTCAGGCCCTTAGTGCTTGCAGGGTAAGCGGCAAAACCACTGAGCTAAATCCCCGGCCCCATTCTGAACTTCTTAACTTCTTAACAAGGTTTGCCCTCATGGGAAATTACTTAACCAGAGCCTACCCTGAGAGGGGTTTGTTGGAGCCTAACTGACCTAGAAGGGAAACACCCAACTCCTGCTAAGTCTGTCCCATGTAAAGGAGTGTGGGGGATACCTGTGTGAAACCTACAGTCCAGAAGTTACAAACTCAATAAAAGGCTGTAACCTAATCATAGGACTACAGAATGCCACCCATCACACACACACACACACACATACACACACACACACACACACCCCTTCCCACACCTTATGAAAGACAGGAAAACACTGTAGATCCCATAAACATTAAAATACTATAAATAGTTATGTGCCCACAAATATGATAACATGGACAGAATGGACCACAGAATAGTCCTCACGTGGCACATGAAATGGAAAGGCAGTGTGCCATATTCATACATAAAGAAATGGACAATCTAATTGAACTATCACTAGAGTAAAGAAATTGATTTTTTTAATTTTTTGTACCAAGGATTGAACTCAGGACCTTGCGCTTTCGAGGCAGGTGGTAGAACCACTGAGCTAAAGCCCCAGCCCCAAGAAATTGAATCTTTAATTAATAAATTTAAAACAAAAAACATTAAGCCGGGCGTGGTGGTGCATGCCTATAATCCCAGTACTTGGGAGGCTGAGGCAGGAGGATCGCTGTGAGTTCGAGACCAGTCTGGGCTACATAGTGAGTTCCAGGTCAGTCTCAACTACATAGTGAGACCCTGTCTCAAAAAAACAAAACAAAACAAAACAAAACAAAACAAACAAACAACAAAAACCCAAAACATCAGGACCTAGCACCTGCCTGGCAAGTGTGAGGCCCTGAGTATGATTCACCAAAAAGAAAAAAAAAGCATCAGGACCAGGTGGTTTTATTGGTAAATTCTACTAAACTAATTTGCTTCCCAGGAACGGAAGGGAGAAAAGAATCACCACTTGCTGAGCTCTGTTGGTATCTAACTTGTTTTGAACCCTCTCATTTGCCTTCCAGCCTTTTCCTTTCAGTACTTTGCTCAACCTGAACCACCCTTTCCCATCTAAAATCTTCAACTCAGAATGCTTAGTCTCGGTGTCACCTCCTTAAAGGAGCCTCTCTTGACACCCCGGTCTGTGCTGGCAAGGTGCACATTCTCTGTATCCCTGTACCCCTCTGTCCATGCCTCTCTACTTATTTCAGAGCTTGTCATTGTGTTCAAAGAATGCAGTTCACTGTCTTCCTTACCATTATATGAAATTTGGGATTTGGTCACAGTGGTCTCTGGCTACCAGAGATACTACTTTAAGGTACTCACAGAAGCTCTCTCTTTCTCTGACTATGCCTCGTTCCAGTAATTAAATCCCCAGGTTGGACATTTTCTCCTTGTAAGCTTATTAGTATGGTCAGAGGTGACTAACTCACCCCAAGAGCCTTGTAGCTCTCAGTTCCATTATAACATTATTTGTACCACTCATGTGGTCCTGCAAATTGATAATTTAATAAACTCTTTTGCCCTGGGTTTCTAGTAGTAATGACCAGATCATATTGCAGGTTGAGCATCCCTCATCTAAAAACTCTGAAATCTAAAATGCTCCCAAATCTGAGCCAGGTCTAAGAACGTGCTTATAGTTCCAGATACTCGGGGGCTAAGGCAGGAGGGTCACTTGAGCCTAAGAATTTGAGACCAGCCTTCATGACATACTGAGACCCCAATATCTATCTATCTGTCTATCTATCTATCTATCTATGGAAAATGTGGAGTGCTGACATGGCATCACAGGTGGAAAATTCCAGATCTGATCTCATATGATAGTTCACAAAGTACAGGTGCACTAAAAACATTGTATAGAATTATTTTCAGGCTATGTGAATAAGATGAATTTTTTTGTTTAGGCCTCATCCCCAAGATATCTCATTATGTAAATACAAATATCCCAAAATCCCTCCCAAATTTTTAAAATCTAAAATAATTCTAAACTCAAGCATTTTGGATAAAGAATATTCAACTTGAACTTTCAAATCTAACCATGCCAAGGGTGCACATCTGTAATCGTAACACTTGAGAGGCTGAAGCAGGAAGGATTACAATTTTGAGTCCCACCCAGACAATTTATCAAGATCCCTCAAAATAAAGAACAGCTGGGAATGTAGCTCAGGGCAAAGATGTAGGAGGGGGTGTATCTAAGTATCTAACAGGATCCTATTCTCAATTTTGAGTTTCTGTTCACTGTAGCTACTTCTAGAACCAAATACTTCATTAGTCAAGGTTACGTCAAGAGAATAGCTTTTATTTCATATACTTGTGCTATAGAAAAACAATCTGTCTTTTTTTCCCCCCTCCAACCTCATTCCACACCAGATTTCCATGATCTCAGTAGGTGTGGGAAGCCAGGTGCAAAGGTGTATGCCTGTGATCCCAGAAAGCTGGGAGACTGAGAAGGAGAATCCAAAGTTCAAGCAGAGCTTAGGCAATTTAACAATTTAGTGAGACCCTGTCATAAAATAAGAAATGCAAAAAGAGCTGGGGATATAGTTCAGTGTGAAGGCCCTGGATTCAACACCTAGTAACACACACACACACACACAGTGTTGGGTTTCTCCCCACTAGCAGGCAAGCAAGCAGTGCTGCAGCAGTGAACACCAGCTGGGGTGTCTTCTAACTTAATTCAGTCCTGACGTAGTCTACAGAGATAGCTCTAATCACCACAGGTTGCGGCTCCACTCCCAGAGTGTCCCCACATAGACCCAGGAACAAGTCGAGTCCTGTGGCATAAACTGGGGATGCCATAACCCCTTCTCATTTCCATTCATCTGCTTCAGTGGCTCCCAGAACTCAGGGAAGCGCTACCCTGTTTACTGTTTACTACAAAGCGTATTCAAAGGTACTGGTGAGCAGCTGGGTCAAGAGCCACCTGGGGCAAGGTCTGAACTGGTCCTTAGGGTAGGAGCTTCTGCCTGGGGTTGGACTGCAGTTCTTGATGTCTTCGTACAAGGCCCTGTGTGTATGTCCTTTGGGGCTCTCTGCAGACTTCCTGGCATAGGCTTGACTGCTGAGTCTTGAGTGGGGAAAACCCAGCAAGGTCTGTCCTACCAGACTCTTCTTGGCTTCTCTGTACAGCATTCCTTCCTCCAGGGCACGGGGCTGCGCCCTCTGGTATTGAGGAGGGTTTTACAAGTCTTATCAGACAAGGTAGGTCAGGGAATTTCTTTATGACCAGCTAAAGGGAGGGTAAGATCAGTTTCTATAACCTACCCTGGTGAGGGAATTATAAGCCAGGAACTGGAAGATTTTTAACATGGGGAATTAGATGTTTACAAAGTTATTGGCGAGACAACTTGGGGAGTAAAAGTCAAAGAAAGCAGATGCTGGCTTTTAGGAACTCTGGAAGTGCAGGAATTACATGAAGCTCCTCCAATCTCAGAAGCTAGAGGAGCTGTACACATTTTTCAGCAGAAAGCCTTTGCCAATTTACATCTTTACCAAACAGGCTATTCTCATTTTTAACCTCCCCCCCAGTACATCAAGATCAACCAGGAATTGTCAGTGAAGCTGTCTGGGTTGGTACAAGAAAAGGAAGCTCTGTGGGAAGAACACGAACGATACCTGGAGCAGCTTGACAAACACATGAGGTAAATGTGCAGCAGCCTGGAGAGCAGCGGTCCCTGACTGAGCCAGCCTAGGAGGCAGTGGGAGGCTCCCCACAGCCACCTTCTCCATGCCAGTGAGACTTTCCTGTTTCCAGAACCTCCGTGCACAGAGCTTTTCCTAGGAAGATATGGAGCCCATTGCCTTCCCAGGAACGGAAGGGAGAAAAGAATCACCACTTGTTGAGCTCTGTTGCTATCTAACTTGTTTTGAACCCTCTCATTTGCCTTCCAGCCTTTTCCTTTCAGTACATTGCTCAGCCTGAACCACCCTTTCCCATCTAAAATCTTCAACTCAGAATGCTTAGTCTCGGTGTCACCTCCTTAAAGGAGCCTCTCTTGACACCCCAGTCTGTGCTGGCAAGGTGCACATTCTCTGTATCCCTGTACCCCTTTGTCCATGCCTCTCTACTTATTTCAGAGCTTGTCATTGTGTTCAAAGAATGCAGTTCACTGTCTTCCTTACCAGGCTGTAAGCTTTTCAAGGGTATGTGGACTCTATCCACAGACCCTGGTAGATAGTAAGATACGCAAGGAAAATTCATGTCCCTATCTGGCCCAAAGGCACACAGTTGTAATCCCAGCTGCAGTACTTAGGAGGCTGAGGCAGGCAGGAGGATTGCTTGAACTCAGACTTTAAGGTCAGCCTAGACAACGCAGTGAGAACCCCATCTCTTCAAAAAAAATGGGGAGAGGGGATGCTAGGGATGTAGCTCAGTATTAGTTTGCCTTCCTAGCTTGGACCAGGCTTGTCCCCGGCACCGACCCACACCCACAGGCATACACACACTTCCTGAACTTCCTTCTACCTCCATTTCCAGCTCATCATCCTACCAGATTCCTTTCAGTCTCCTCCTCTGAAGTATATGAAGCAGAGTAGTTGAGAGGATGGACTTTGGAGCCCCACTGCCTGGTTACAAATCCTGCTTCTATTAGAAACTAGCTGTATAATCTTGGGCAAGTAATAAAACCTCTGTGCCTGAGGGATTTTTTGTTTTGCTTTTTTTTTTGTTGTTTTTAGTACCGGGGATTGAACTAAGGGCCTTTTATACTCAGCTACAGCCCCAGTCTTTTAAAAATTTTGTGTCAACATCTTGCTAAATCACTAAGTTGCCCAGGGTGCATTTGAAATTTCAGTCCTCCTGCCTGGGCCCCCTAGAGTGCCAGGATTATAGGTTTTTGCCATTGTGCCTGGGTGGTTACTCATCTTTAAAATGGACAAAATAGCCAGGGATTTAGCTCAGTGGTTCTGCCACCTGCTTTGCTTTGCAAGCGCAAGGTCCCAAGTTTGATCCCCAGTACCAAAAAAAAAAAAAAAGAAGAAGTTAAAATGGGCAAACTAGCAGTATTTAAGTTATAAATTTGTTGCAAGAATTAAATGAGTGAATATGTATAGTGCCAGCTTGGTGTCTGACACATGGTGAGTGTATTTATTTATTTATTTGGCTTTCTCCATGACCCATTTTTCTGTAGTCTTCTGATTTGTTCCTTTCATAGGGTGAAGTTTCTTATTCTCTTATGCTGCTATTCATCTACTATGTTGATGGCATTGATGATTTTAAAACCTCACTTACTGTTTTATAGCAAAGAGTTATGACAGAGTCACTGGTAATCACTGTCTTACTTTAATCATTCTGTGAGTCAGGTTTCCATCACTGGGACAAAATGCCTGACATATATAACTTAAAGGACGAAAGATTTATTTTGACTCATGATTTCACAAATTTTAGTCTGTGCTCAGCTGGCTGCAAGGCTTCAGAAACGTCAGGGTGGAGGGTATGGCAGAGAAAAACTTTATACTTCACAATGATTAGAAGCTGAGGGGCCAAAGATGTAGCTCAGTGGTACCGATGCCTGCCTGGCAAGTGCAATCCCTAGTACCAGGGAAAGGCTTGAAGGAAGGGGAGGGGAATGGGAAACAAAAGGGGGAAAAGAAGATTGAGATATGTTAAATACAAGTACAAATTCCTTATGATTAATGTAATCCATATGTATGACAAACATGTAGTAATTTTTTAAAGATTAAAAAATAATAATTAATCCAAACCATTAATAGGCCATTATCCAGAAATTAGGCAAGATAGAACCAGTTATATCATTGTTCAAGAGTATAGCCAAGAACTGGGAAATTTTAAATTAACAACCTAGTCAATGAAGCAGGATTCAGAATTTATTTTTTTGTTGTTGTTGTTTGAGACAGGGTCTCACTATATAGTTGAGACTGACCTGGAACTCACTATGTAGTCCAGGCTGGCCTCGAAACTCACAGCGATCCTCCTGCTTCAGCCTCCCGAGTGCTGGGATTACAGGTGTGCACCACCATGCCCGGCTAGTATTCAGAATTTAGATGTTAGCCAGGCATGGTGGCGCATGCTTGTAATCCCAGCACTCGGGAGGCTGAGGCAGGAGGATCGCTGTGAGTTTTAAGGCCAGCCTGGACTACATAGTGAGTTCCAGGTCAGTCTCAACTATATAGTGAGACCCTGTCTCAAACAACAACAACAAAAACCAGAATTTAGATGTCAGAGATCAGAACTCAAAGAGTTTCCTAAATTAAACTCAGATGCTAAGACTATACCATTACTATCAGCTCTAATCAAGGCAAGCCAGGGACTGAAGGCCACGGGGGTAACTGTACTTGTTATATAGAGTGTTAACCCCCCAGATAGGAGCAAGGAAATATGAGGCAAGATAAGTATCCATATCTGCTGCCAGGGCCCTGACATAAGCAAGAAGAGAAAACCCAAGAAGGTGTATATTGAAGAAGCAAAATAAATCTTAATTGTGCTCAGATAAGCCTATACTCAGATTTACTTTTATAGAAACTGCAATGAAAAGCATCACCACCACAAAGCCAAGTTTCGAAAGGCCAAGGATCATTTAGTCCATGAAGTAGAAATACGAAATAAGAGAATTAAACAACTTGAAGATGAAACTGGAATACTGCAACAAAGAGTTAAATTGGTGAGAAATAACAGAGTACTAATGATGCTGGTGGTCAGCCATTTGGAGAAAACCCACTCAGTTTTTAATTATGCATGGTCTCTTCACAGTCCTTGTTTTCATTTATTTTTTGGGGGGAGGATACCATCTTTCAAAGTGAGTAATTCTTTAAGCTCTGCCAAACAGTAAAAAAACTCAAGTATTGCTAAATCAAATTGGACACTAAAAATATTCTGTACTGCTAGTTTCTGTCTTGCCTTCAAGTGAATTTTTTTTCCAGTACTAGAGATTGAACCCAGGGCCTTAGCACTGGGCTACATCTCCAACACATATTTTGGGGAGGGGAGACAGTGTCTCCCTAAGTCATCAGGTTGTCTAAAATGAGTTGGAAATTGCAGTCCTCCTGCCTCAGTCTTCCAGTGCTGAGATTACAGATGCGCACCACCACACCCAACTAGATGTCCTTTATTGGATATTCCTCAGCAGAATCTTTCAAACCATCATTGCTTCATTTTGCGTCAAACTTTAGTGTCAGTTTTAAGTAGCAGTAGAAAGAGGAAATCCCTTTTTTTTCTTCTTTAAACTTTTTTTCCATACCAATTCTTATAGTGCCTTTAAACTTTTTCTTTTCTAAATATCTCTGATTTCTTTATGCTTCTCTAATTGGCTTGGAACATTAGTACATGGGTAAGAAGGAAATGGGACAAATGAAAAGAATCAAATATAGAATGGTTTTGAGATCATTAAACTGTATAAATTAGAAATGGAGAGCAATGGACTAGGCCAATCATGTTTTCCCTTCTCAGAATCTCCAGTCCCTTGCAGAAGAAAGTATCAATCTCAATTCATGGGTCAACCAGAAATCTCATCAGCCCACATCTGCATTAGTAACTTCCCTGCTGCCCACCTTCCATGTGTAGGCATCTGTGTGCAGACAGGCCCTCATGTCAGCGGGTGTGCTTCCTGTCCTCCCCACTGTGCAGGGGGAATAGTGTTCCCCAAACCACGTCTACTCAGAACCTCAGAGTGTGACCATACTTGAAGATCGGTTCTTTACAGATATTTTTAAAGTGAGGCCATCCTTGATTAGGGTAAATTCCAAATCCAGTATGACTTGTGTCTTTATAAAACTTCTAGGACCACAAGAACATTAATTTCTATCATTTTAGGCTATTCAGGTTGTGGTAATTTGCCATGGCAGCACAGGAAATCAGTGTATAACAGAATCACAGGTCTCCAGGAAATGTCTTGGGTATCACCAATATGCAGGAGCTATGAAAGGAACTGGATCTTTCACTCACTACCACTGAAGGTTTCTGAGGGCTTTGCCTTGGACTTGGATTCAAATTCTAGTCCTGCCATTTAGTTTTATGACTTTGAACAAGGCGCTGTGTATTGTTTTCTTCATCTGTAAAGTGGACAAAAATATCTCCACCTCATACATAAGGCTTTAGGAGCTTTTTCATTTGGGTTGGGTTGGGTTTTTTGGTTTGGGTTTTGGTTTCTTGACAAAGAGTCTTGCTAAGTAGTCTAGACTGGCCTTGAATTTAGTATGCAGCCCAGGCTAACCTTGAAGTCACAACTCTGCTACCTGGGCCCTCTGAGTGCTGGGATTACAAGTATATGACAATGTCCCTGGCTTACACACACACACACACACACGTGCACACACAAAGCTTTCATGAGAATTAAAATATAAAATTCTTAGCAAGATATATCATGTAGAGGTACAAGATTCCAATAATAAATGTAACTGTACTGTTTGCTTTAAATGTACCAATAAACTTAATGGGGAAAATAAATAAAAATAAAATAAAATATAAAATTCTTAAAGTGACACGTGTAAATTTTTCATAGGTACCACTTTTCGCCTTTGTGTATAATCTTTTAGAAACATGTTGACAGATGGATCCATAGTTCATAAGACAGGCCAGGTGTGGTGGCGCACACCTATAATCCCAGCACTCGGGAGGCTGAGGCAGAAGGATCACTGTGAATTCGAGACCAGCCTGGGGTACATAGTGAGTTCCAGATCAGTCTCAACTATATAGTGAGACCCTGTCTCAAAAAAACTACAACAACAAAAACATAGTTCATAAGACAAAGTGTGAACACAAATAGGAATACTTAGCCTGGAGAAGACATATATGACAGCTTTTAATGCCACAGTGCTACAAACCTGAGTGCTCTGAGAGTACTTACTTTAGGACCCACAAACCAGAGCCCTGTGCTTAGAAAAGCTACTGATACCTCTTCTTTTGGCTTCATTCCATCAATCTTCTCTTTATACAGCAAGCCAATTGAGTCCTCTAACCATTGTGGCCATCCAAACCAGATTTTCTCAATATTTTATCCTATTTCCACAGTAGGTATCTTGATTTAGGGGCATGTTAAAAATATGGTGTTTCCAAAGGGCAGGATCTCAGTATCCTTCTCCATCTAATACCCTTTCTAATTGAGTTATATTAGCATAGGATATTGTCTGTGAAATGGTTGCTTCTATTCCATTACCAGTACATTAGTAATGAGATATCTTTAGTAGCAGGTGAGATTTTCACTAGACATTTAAGGGTCCTGGAGAGGGCCTTAAAATGTAGGGTGCTGGGCCAGGGATTTAGCTCAGTGGTGCCAGTACCTGCCTCACAAGTGCAAGGTCCCGAGTTCGATCACTGGTACCAAAAATAAATAAATAAAATAAAATAAAATGTAGGGTGCTTTGCTTCAGAACATAACCTCACCTCCTTCCTTATACATCTTTAGTAGTAAATGGACAGTCTTCTGAATGACCTACATTAATAGTTTATTTAAAGAAACATAAAATTGCTCCTTTTGCTTGATATGGTGCACATATCTGCAACCTGAGCTACTCAGGAGGCTGAAACAGGGAGATTGCAAGTTTGAGTCTAGTCTGGCAACATACCAAGACCCTGTCTCAAAATTTTAAAAAGGGGTTGGGAAATACCTTAGTGGAAAACCATTTGCCAGACATGTGTAAGGCCCAGTACCAAGAAAGAAATAAAGGAAGAAAAAGGAAGGAAAGGAAAGGGAACGGGAAAGGGAAAGGGAGGGGAGGGGAAGGGAGGGAGAAAAGAAAAGCTCCTCTTAATGCTGTCATTCACCCACCTGCCAAAATTACTGTAACCCCCACACACACAGAAGTGGAAGCAGAAATGGAAAGAGGAAGAAGGTGCTTACCATCTACAGGTCATTAGTGAGACAAACTCAGCAGTTGTACATGTTGGGGCTCGAAACCCTCACCAAGAGTGATATTGATCAGTATCTAGGGACTCTTTCAGTGTGGGACTGTTAGTATTTTTTCACAAAATGTACTCCTTTATCACCTTAGCTGAAACTTCACTCCCTATTGCTTTGGGGGAAAATCACTCACTGGCAGAAAATGAAACACGGTGTTGAGCTGGAAGCCACTTCAGCGCTGTCACTGCAGAAGTCTTGCACTTGGCTCACAGGCTTGGCTTCCTAAGCCATCTGGGCTCCTGATACTGCCTGCCTGGCAAAGGGGGCTAAATCCTACCTCCCACCCTCTGCCCTACAAAGAATATGACTGTGAAACAGAGGGAAATGTATTTATTACATGGAGAAATTTGCAATATAGACCTTTCAAGAATTCAGTTGTATTTGTTGGTGATTTGTTACTGGGATCTTTACGGAAGTTGAATATTCAGATATTTTTTAAAATTTATGCATAAGAATGATTAAATATCCAAACAAAATATATTACATAAAGTAACCAAAATGCATTCAGGAATACCTAGTTAGGAATGAACCACAGTGTCAGCAAACAACTGGAGACAGATTAAAGGACAGGAAAGAGAAAGTAAATAAGAGCATTGAGTTGTTAGAGTTTTGAAACAAGCTGAAACCTCCATTTGTAATTCTTTCCCTTGCTATGATAATCTCTAGGAGAAGGCATTTCAGGACCAGATCTTGGCCCAGAATGATATCCTACTCCTAGAAAAAAGGAAGCTTCTAGAACAAGTCACCAATCAAGAAGAACTGATCAGCAGCAACAAAAGCATAATCTCTTCAATCCAAAGCAAGTAGGTGCAGCCCTGCCTGGGAACCACTGGATTCTCAAAAGGGAATGTGTTTCCCTTCTGCTATAAACCATATGCAAATGCCCTTCTCAAACTATATCATAGTTTATGACAGTTTATAGATAAGGAAACTATGACTCACATTTGTAATTTGCTAAGGGTCACACAGCTAGGAAGTCACCTAGTTTGGGAAGCTAGGCAAATCCAGAGCTCAAATACAAATTTGCAATCGAAACAGTTTTATTGCTGTGTCTTTCAGATAAACTGTATCCCTGGCTGGGCGTGGTGGTGCACACCTATAATCCCAGCATTAAAGGAGGCTGAGGCAAGAGGATTGCTGTGAGTTCGAGATCAGCCTGGGCTACATAGTGAGTTCCAGGTCAGTCTCAACTACATAGTGAGACCCTGTGTCAAAAAACCAAAACAACAACAAAAAAAACAAAAAACAAAAAACTATATAAATACACAAACAAAAACTGTAGCCCTGGATAGGTGAGCCTGACACAGTGATTAAGAGCTCAGGCTTAGAAATTTTAAAAGATCCTGATTCACATTCCAATTCTACAAATTTGTTTTTATGTTCTAAAGGACATTACCTTCACTTCTTGGAGCCTTAATTTCCTCAAATATAAAATGGGCTTCAAAGCAGCACACATTTCATGAGGTAGTTGTGTTAATCAGCTAATTCATGAGAAGTTGTCAGTGCTTCCTATATGAGTGGGTTACGGGGCCTATGCACAGGGTAAGAGGTTGGTGAGTGGCTAATGCTGCCACCATCATTTCTATTTCTTTTTCTTTTTTTGGTCTGTTTGTTTCATTTTATTTTGTTTTTTGAGACTGGGCCTTATTATATAGTTCAGGCTGGCCTTGAATTCACAAGGTAGCCCAAGCTGGCCTCCAACTCATGGTGACCCACCTGCCTTAGCCTCCTGAGTACTGGGATTACAGTATGTGCCACCATGCCCCACCACTGTTTCTATTTCTACAAAAGAAGCAGAGCCAGCTCAGAGTGAGATAAGAACCAGATATAAGCTGTGTAGCTATAATATTTGAAAGGATGCAGTTTCAATTCTATTCCTGAATTGTTACCCTTTTTTTTTCTTTTTTTGTTCTGTTTTTCAGTTTTTTTTGTTTTTTTTTTTGTTGTTGGTACCGGGGATTGAATGCCAGTTCTTGCACTTGTGAGGCAGGCTGAAGCACCACTGAGCTAAATCCCTGGCCCTCAATCCTATTCCTAAATGGGATCTTATCTTTTCTTAAATGTCTCAGGATCTATAATTGCACCTTTCACATTGCTGCACCTATACTGTATTTAATAAACATGTACATGCCAGAAGGGTATTAATTTTTACTTGGTGCCAGGCATGGTGCGGCACGCCTGTAATCCCAGCACTCGGGAGGCTGAGGCAGGAGGATCGCTGCGTGTTTGAGACCAGCCTGGGCTACATAGTGAGTTCCAGGTCAGTCTCAACTACATAGTGAGACCCTGGCTAAAAAAAATTTTTTTTACTTGGTTGTGGAATATGGTAAGAATTATTCTGCCAAACTTGGTTCTAAAACCTAGACTGTTCTAATTGTGCCTCTGATGTATGCCATTCGTAGAGCATTTTTCTTGGATAAAGAAAATAAGCAACTACAGGAAAATCATTTCCGTCTCATGCAGCAAGTTGTCCTCTTAGAGCGCATTTTATGGAGTGTCCGGATTCATAGAGGAGAGGTAGGATGTGTACTTTTTATTGGGTCCTTAACATGAAGTTTCGCTTGCTAAGTTTACTTTGCTCTCTCATCTTCACATTGCTGTAGCCCTGCTCTCAGCCTCATAGTAGGCTGTGACCCTTAGACTGCTACTCTTCATTGGGCCAGCTTTTTTTTTTTTGGTTCCGGGGATCAAACTCAGGACCTTGCTCTTGCAAGGCAGGCGCAGCACCACTGAGCTAAATCCCTGACCATGGGCCAGCTTTATTAAGCACTCTCCTAATGGGTGATCCCAAAGCAATTTATGTCTCTGAGCATCTTTCTTGACACACTATATTGTCATTGTCTTTCTTTTCTTTTCTTCTCTATCTCTTTAACTCAGCAGTGAGAACCCAGAGGGTAAGAACTGTAGCTTATACATCACTCTGTGGACAAGTGCTCCATAAATATTGGAGAATGAATGGACAGTAAATGTTTTCATATATATATATAAAATATATATATATCCCTTGTTCTGAGCAACCCTGTTTGCAATGTTTCATTCTAGACTGATTTGAAAAGAAAGATGAACAAACGTGAGGCTCAGAGAAATAAAGTGAATCTGACAAGTTTGCTACTGAGTTAAGACTAAGGACAGCAGCTGAGTCCAAGAAAATCAATTATGTTCGAACAATTCAGACAGACAAGAAGGGAACTCCAGAGAAACACAGAGGATAATACACTTTCAGAGAGAAAGTCCAGAGTCTGGTTGGTGAGCAAGTCAGAAAGGAGGACTTCTGTGAGCAGAAGTATACTGTGAATCAGGTGTAGAGGTGGTTTCTTTCCTTCCCTGGTTTGTATCTCCTGGAAAATATTCCTTCCTGAGATACTTCACAATGGATCCTGCTTCTTGGACACTACTGCTATGAGTATAAGACTTGTATTTTGTTTTGTCTCAGAAAGATAGTTATTTCTAGCTTTGTGAGTTGTTTTGAAGGTTTAACAAAAGTAGAACTCACTGGTGTCTTCAAACCTTTTCAAGCTCCTCCCTCAAACCGATTCCAAAGGGTTCTGAAACACGTGTGTCTTATTACTTTTCTCATTGCTGAGACAAAATACCTGACACCCTGCGTTAAAGGAAGAAAGGTTTATTTAGCTCACAGTACAGAGAGGTTTCAGTTCATAGTTGGCTGGCTCCAAGTACAGGGTGGCATCAAAGAGGAGAAACAGTTCATGATGGGCAAAAGGGAAGGCAGACCATGTCCTCAGTAACCTGTTTCCTCCAACCAGACCCCGCCTCCCAATAGCAAGTCAGCTCTAATACTTTCATAATCCAATTACTCCCCAAAAGCCCTTCCTATGAATGCATGAGACTTTGGAAGAACATCTAGGGCCGGAGGTTTGGCTCAGTGGTCCCACTGCATACCTCACAAGCACAAGGACCCAAGTTTGATCCCCAGTACCAAGAAAAAAAAAAGAGAACATCTAGATACAAACCATAACAGTAGGCAACTATGCAGATGCAGAAAGTAGATTAGTGGTTTCCTTGTACAGAGGGGTTAAAGGCCATGGGGTTTATATTGAGAGTGATGAAAATGTTTTAAAATTCACTGTGGTGGGGATGGGGATTTAGCTCAGAGGTTTTGCTGCCTGCCTTGCAAGTGCAAGGACCTGAGTTCAATCCATGGTACTCAAAAAAAAAAAAAAATTCACTGTGGTGATACTTGTACAACTCTTAAAATACTACTACTAAAAACCACTGAATTATGTACTTTAAGTGGGTGAGTTATATGATATGTAAATTATATCTCCATAGTCAGTACAATAGTAATTTTTTTCATGGTACAGGGGACTGACTGAATCTAGGGTCTTCACACTGGGCTATATCTTCAAACCTTTCTTATTTTTTATTTTGAGACAGGTTCTCACTAAATTACCCAGGCTGGACTTAAATTTGTGATACTCCTGCCTCAACCAGTCATACAAAAATAAAGAAATGGGGTTTTTTTCTCTTAAATTCTTTTACTGGTACATTTTTGTTATACATTTACATTCATTATTGGGAACTTGTACCCTTACATGATGTATCTTGGTTCTTATTTTTCCCCCATTCCCCTGCGTGCCCTTTGACCCCTCTACCCCTCCCTATTTGCAAAGGCTTTGTTTTCATCTATTTCTTATTCATATTTTTTCCTTTCCCCTACCCCTCCCACTTCCCCTACTCCTTTGGACCTTTTTCTTCCTATTTCACATTATCAGTTATTCATTTTAATCCTTCTTTACACTTTCAGTTTCTCATGCTAGAGAAACTATTCAGTATTTACATGTGTGTCCTATTTATATCACTTAAGGGTATGGCCTCCACTGCCTGTCTTGCAAGTACAAGGTCCCGAGTTCAATTCCCCCCCCCACAAAAAAAGGTATAGCCTCAATGTGCATCCATTTAGCTATAAATGTCTCTAATTTCTCTGGTTTTGCTTTTTTTTTTTTTGAGACTCTTTATGGCTGAGTAGTACTCCATTTTAAAAAAAAATTTTTTTTCTTTATCCAGTCTCCAGTTGATGGGCACTTGGACTGTTTCCAAGATTTAATTATTACAAACTGTGCTGCTAAAATCATGGGCACCCATATATCACTGTGGTATGATTCTTTTAATTCTTTTGGGAAGATACCTAGTAGAGGAATAGCTGGGTCAAATGGGACCTCTAATACTAGTTTATTGAGGTGTCTCCATTTTGATTTTCACCGTGGTTGCACCAGTCTGCACTCCCACCAACAATGAAGAAAGGCTCCTTTCTCCCCACGACCATGCCAACATTTGTTATTGTTTGATTTCTTGATAGCAGCCATTGTTTTTGGGGTGAGGTGGAATCTCAGTGTTGTTTTCATCTGCATCTCTCCTATGACCAGTGATGACAAACATTTTTCACTTTACTTTAATTTTTCTTTTTGGTTTTTTGAGACGGTCTCACGATGTAGCCCAGGCTGGTCTCCAACTCACATTGATCCTCCTGCCTCAGCCTCCTGAGTGCTGGGATTACAGGCATGCACTACCACACCCAGCTTGCTTTTACTTCTTTGTCTGAGAAATGTCTATTCATTTCAGATGCCCATTTTGAATTGGGTCTTTAAATTTGGGGGATCTGACTTTTTTTTAAGTTCTTTATATATATTCTTGATAGTAGTCCTTTGTCTGAGAAACAGCTGATAAACATTTTTCCCCTTGTAGGTTGTCTCTTAGTTCTGTTGATGATTTCTCTTGCAGCACAGAAACTTTTTAATAAGATGAGATTTCAGTTGTTGATTCTTTGTGCTAATTCCCATACTACTGAGGTTTTTGTTCATAAAGTCTTTTCCTATGCTGATGTCTTCAATAGTTCTACCTAACTTATCTTCCAGCAGGTTTAGTGTAGGAAATGTTTGTTTTGTTAAAACATGGTTGTTGGAGATAAAGTAGAATAATGCACATAAATACTGCGTATATTTTTTGGTAGAGTTGGCATCCAGGAATGATAGCTTGTACCTCTCAATGCACATACATTAACTTGTTTTTTTGTTTTATTTTTTGAGGGGGGATAGGGTTTGCTGATATACTGTAACACGCAATACTCCACCAATGAAACTGTTACAGTAAAGCTGCAGGATACAAAATCAACACAACAAAAAATCAATAGTGCTATTGTATATACCAACAATGAATTTTTTGAAAAAGAAGTCAAGAAAAATCACATTTTTAATGCTACCAAAAATAATTAAGAACTAAGGGTAGTGGCACATGCCTATAGCATTTGGGAGGCTAAAGAATGAGGATCACCACAAGTTCAAGGTCAGTTTGGGCTAAATAGCAAGCTCAAGGCCACCCTGAACTGCATAGTGAGACTATGTCTTAACAACAATAATAGGAACAAATTTAGCTAAAGAGGTGAAAGATCTTGTACACTAAAAAAGTGTGATAAGCTAAAGAGGTGAAATCTTGTAAACTAAAAAACTGTGATTAAAAACTTGAAAAAGACAAATAAATGGAAAGATATTAGTACTTGTGGGCTGGAAAAAAATTAGTATTGTTAAAATGTCCATAGTTCCCTAAACAATACTCAGATTCAGTACAATCCCTATCAAAAGTCCACTGTCATTTTTACCCAAACAGAAAAAAATCCTAAAATTCATTGGAACTACAGAAAGCCCTAAGTATCTAAGACAAACAAAATTGGAGGGCTGGGGATTTGACTCAGTGGTTCTGCCGCCTGCCTCACAAGCATAAGAGCCCAAGTTTGATTGCCAGTACTACAAAAAAAAAAAAAAAAAAAAAATTGGAGTCCTCACACCACCTGATTTCAAACTATAATACAGAGATATAGTAACTGAAATAGAATGATTACAAATCAACAGATACCTGAAAAAATGCCCCACATCACTAATCTTAGGGAAATACAAATTAAAACCACGGTGATGCATCACCTCATACCCGTCAGAAAAATAAAAGATAGTAAATGTTGATGAGTCAGAGAAACATGTACCCTTGTAAGCATTGGTAGGAATAATACAGCTATTATGGAAAATTAATATAGCCATTATATAAAACTATATCGAAATTTCTCAAAAAACTAAAAGTAGGATTATAATATGATCCAGCAATCCTACTTCTGGATATATAGCTAGAGGATTTTTTGTTTTGTTTTGTTTTTTGAGTCAGGGTCTCACTATGTAAGTTGAGACTGACCTGGAACTCACTAAGTAGCTCAGGCTGGTCTCGAACTCACAGCAATCCTCCTGCCTCAGCCTCCCGAGTACTGGGATTATAGGGATATGCCACCACGCCCGGCTGAGGATTTTAAACATATACATTCTGTGTTTATTTTAGCTTATTCATGATAGCCAAAGTATAGAATCAATCTAAGTCCATCAATGGATAAATACATAAAGAAATATATATATATATATATATGTGTGTGTGTGTGTGTGTGTATATATATATATGCACACACACGTACAGTGGAATACTATTCAGCCTTTAAAAAGGGAAATTCTGTAATTTGCACCAACAGGGATGAACTGAAAGGGAATTACTTTAAGTGAAATCATCAAGCATGGAAAAATAAATACTACTTATTCTTACTTATATGTGGAATCTATAGCAAGCAAACTAATAGAGAGAACAGAATGGTTACCAGAGGCTGGAGGATGGAAAAATGTGGCAATCATTGATCAAAATATATAGTTTTAGGGCTGGGGATTTAGCTCAGTGGTGCTGCCGCCTGCCTCACAAGGGCAAGGTCCTGAGTTCGATCGGTGATGCAATGTTAATTAGCTTAATGCAATCATTCTACATTGTGCACATATATCATCCATCACTTCACACCCCATAAATATATACAAATATAATTTGTCAATACTGGTAACATTTTGTGTTCTTGTTTTTTTGAGATAAGGTCTCATTATGTAGTTCAGGATCCCATCAAACTCACTATGCATCTCAATCTGACATTAAACTCCTAACCCTTCTGCCTCAGCCTTCCAAGTGGAATCACAGGCATGTGCACCATGCCTGACTTCCAGTAAAATGTTTTAAATCATTCAAGCTAGCAATATCCAAATATTTATGTCCTTGCATATACATATTCACAGCAGCAGCATTATTCATAATAACAAAGAAGTAGAAACAACCCAATCTCCATTGTCTAATGGATAAGCAAAATATTATGTTCATACAATGGAATATTATTTAGACATAAAAAGAAATCAGCCAGGCACAGTGGTGCAGGCCTATAATCCCAGCACCCAGGAGGCTGACTCAAGAGGATTGCTGCAGGTTTGAGGCTAGCCCGAGCTATGTAGTGAGTTCAAGGCCAGCCTGAATTACATAATGAGACCTTGTCTTAAAAAAAAAGTACTGATACATGCTACAACATGAATGAAACATGCTAATGTTTTAGAGAAACCAGAAACAAAAGGCTACCGATTGTATAATCATATTTATATGAAAAGTCCAGAATAAAACATCCAAAAAGACAGAAAGTATAGTAGCAATTGCCAGGGGCTGGGAGGGAAGAGGAAGAGAGGGATGAATGATCATGGGTTTGGGGTTTTGCAGGGGGAAGGGTGTGATGAAAATGTTCTGGAATTAGTGGTGATAGTTGCATAAGTCTGAATGTATAGAAAAGAACTGCACTGAACATGTTAAGAGTTACTTGTTATGTGAATTACTTGTCATCAAAGCACTTATTTAAAAAGAAAAAAAAAGAATAACACCAGGTATGGTGGAACACATCTGTAATCCTAGCATTAGGAGGCTGAGGGGGTTGGGGATTTAGCTCAGTGGTAGAACACTTGCCTAGCAAATGTGAGGCCCTGGGTTCAGTCCCAGCAACAAAAAAATTATAAACCTCCCCCGGAAAAAAGATACTTCTATTTTTGAAATATATATAACAAAGGGAGAAGTAAGATACAGTGTATGGGGCTATGTGAGTAGATAAGAAGACAGACATACATAGATTATATAAATTTTATATATGGAAGGAAGGAGAGCGAGATACTGGCAGACTTACAGAGCAGGTGAAAAAACAAGCAACTTTTCATTCTGTCTCTTTTATGCTTTATTGTTTGTATATATATGAACTTTTCATAATCTGTATCTACATATTATAAGTTCTAGGCTCACATTGCCAATGGTTTATCATTATAATCTCTAATATTAATCATTTCTTTCCTTTCAGGAAATAGTTAGTGACATTCCTGAGTATGAAGTATTGAATAAAATACTGCCTTTACCAAACTCTAGGTTAGTAAAACCAAGATAATCATCTGCATGTTTGAGAGTCATAGCTGCTAACTAGTTCTAAATTTATGGATTGAGAAAGTATGGAAGCGGGGGTGGGGGGTGAGGCTTTCTACTTTAGTATTTCAATTTTCTCCCAATTCTTTCTGCCCTGGCTACCCCTTTGCCTTCACATGCTACAGAATTCTGATTTAAGGTAGAAGATAATCCATGAGCATAGCTGTAAGTTTTATTTGGTTTGATTGTTTTCTTTGTGCCTGAGGGTTATAAAAAGGTGAAATAGTTATCAATACCATACCCCTGCAAGCCCAAACATCTATCAATTAATCCTACCCATATGATGTCCTCACATATGATCTTTCTCAGTTCCTCAGGAATAGGTTTGGTAGAGTCAGCTGGAAATCATCAAGAAAATGAAGCATATAAGCCAGAAGCAGCAACAACAATCCCAGAGTCCCCTGCGTCTCTTTCCCACTCACAGAATTCTGAAACTGGATACATAAATGTGGCTTCCCTGAAACAGACACACAGCATACAAGAGCAAGACCAAAAGTCAAAACTATAAAATTACTGGTGGCTCAGACTATACTGATCAAAACCTGCTAATTTAAAGCTTGGACACAAAGGCAGACTATAATATGGAGAAGAGTTTCCACAGATTTCAAATCTCTAGTAGACATCAACCAAGAGTCTTCAAAATTGCTGATAAATTAATTAAACAATTTCTAAAAATAGATTTCTCAAATTTGTTTGATATCCTCAGATGTTTTGTATTGCTCAATGTAGTGACTTAAGTTTAATGATTTAATGAGGCTTCTCTTCAGCAGAACATATAATGGTTGGGCTGGGGATTTAGCTCAGTGGTTCTGCTGCCTACCTTGCAAGCATGAGGTTCTGAGTTTGATCCCTGGTACCAAAAATATAAATAAGTAAATAAAAGAACACATTATGGTTAACTCAGCATTCAAAAGTAAAAACAATGTATTTTTAAATGAACAAAAAAAGGCCTATAATTCTTTTTTTTTTTTAATCCTTGGCCCACTTTATTTTTTATTTTGAGATAGGATCTAAGTTGCTAAATTTCCCAGGCTAGGCTCCAACTTTTGATCCTCCTTCCTCAGTCTTGTAGAGTGCTGGGATTACCTGCATGCACTGCCAGATCTAGCCCTATAATTCTACATTCTTAACTATTTTCAATTTAGAGTTATTTACATTTTCTTTTTTTCCCGGTACGAGGAATCAAACTCAGGACCTTGTGCTTGCCAGGCAGGCACGGTGCCACTGAGCTACATCCCTGGACCCTAGAGTTATTTTCATAGTCTGATTTCATTTAATTTCATTTTTGGCAGTACTGGGGATCAAACCCAGAGACTCATGCATGCTGAGATTCCTGCATTTGAAGTATTGAATATAGCCCCAGCTGGCAGTCTGATTTTTACTTTAATATATCATGAAAATTTAGCCAATAGCCATATGACATTCTATCATGTTGATGCCATATAAATTACTTAAGCCTTCTTTATTTTTTCTGCTGTTCTAAAATTTGTTATATAGATCAGTGGATTTCATTTTAGCAGATTTGTACAAGCTCATAACATACTCTGATTATTTTCAACCCCCATCAACCTCTGCTAGTTTCACATGGCGGGGTTTGACACATATATTCTGCTCATATCCATTATCCATCCTCCCTATTGCCCTTTCTCCTACCCCCCTCCTCTTATTCCCTTCCTCTTGTCCAATAGTAGTCTCCTTTCTGCTTTTTTACCATCTTTTTTAGATTCCACACATTAGAAAAACATGGGATATTTGTCTTTTTGAATCTGACTTATTTTGCTTATTGTGCCTCAATAAACATGGGTATGCAGGTAACCCTATAAAATACTGACTTTAACTTCTTTTGAGTATATACCAAGGAATGGTATAGCTGGAGGGAGCAAAGGTAGCTATATTTTGTTTTTTTGGTTTGTTTGTTTTAGAAACTTTCTACTGATTTCTACAGTAGCTGTACTAATTTGCATTCTACCATCAAAATAGAAAGGTTCCATTTTCTTGTATCCTCACCAACCTTAATTGGTGTCTTTTTCCTTCAGTAATAGGGATTAGACCCAAGACTTTTGCACTCAGCTACATCCCCAGCCCTTTTTTATTTATTTCTATTTTGAGACAGTGCTGTGGGATTTTTATGTGGAGTGGGGACACTAAGGACTTTTTTCCAAGAAGTAGTTTTTGTTTTGTTTTGTTTTTTTCGTGCTGGCACCGACTCCTCAAATTCACATCCAAAGGCTGAGTGTGCCAAATGACATAATTGCACTTTTTTATACAATTTTTGTGTCTTTGTCTCCCTTATATAGGAAAGCACTAACATTTTACGGTCTGGTTCGGTATACATTACATTCTGCGGTCTGATTGGTTTTGTTGTTTTTTTTTGGTTTTTGTTTTTTCGGGGTTTTTTTGAGACAGGTTCTCACTATGTATCTGAGACTGACCTGGAACTCATTATGTAGCCCAGGCTGGTCTCGAACTCACAGCAATCCTCCTGCCTCAGCCTCCCAAGTGCTGGGATTACAGGTGTGCACCACCATGCCCGGCCAGTCTGATTGGTTTTTATGCTAGAGTTTATCAGAACTACACATGCTATATAGATGCTGATATCACTACACTGTAAAAAGTCCCCAACCCCAGAAAGGGACCCTACCTCAAGTTTCCACTAAATTGCTAAATTGCCCAAGCTGGGCTTGAATTTGGGATCCTCCTGCCTCAGCCATCCAGAATGTTGAGTTGCAGGTGTGTGCTACCATGTCCTGCTTGTTTTTTGTACTCTTGATGACAAATTCTGATTGGGTAAGATGGAATCTCAATGTAGTGTTGATTTGTATTTCCCTAGTGGCTAAAAATAGGCATTTTCTTCATATGTTACTGGCCAGCTGCAGTTCTTTTGAGAAGTGTTTGTTCATTTCCTTATTTATTGATTGGGCTATTTGATTTTTTGTTGAGTTTTTTTTTTAAGTATGTGTGTACAGGGACCACTGAGTTCTTTATATATTCTACATAACCTGTTTTTGGAAGAGTAGCTTGACAAGATTTTTTTCCATCTGCAAGTTGTATTTTCACTCTATTAATTGCTTCCTTTGCTATGCAGGAACTCTTTCTAATAGGATATGGTCTTATTTGATTCTTACTATTATTTCCTGTGCTATCAGAGTTCTATTCAGGAAGTCTTTGCCTATGCCTATGACTTCAAGTGTTTTCCCTGTTTTCTACTAGCAGTTTTTAAGTTTCAGGTCTTATACCTAAGTCTTTCATCCATTTTGAAGTGATTTTTGTACAGAGTAAGAGATAAGGATGTAGTTTCAACTTTCTACAAGTGAATATCCAGTTTTCCTAGCACAATTTGTTAAAGAGGCTGTTATTTTCTCCAATGCATATTTTTGGTTCCTTTGTTCAGGATCAGAAGGCTGTAGCTATGTAGTTTGTTTGTTTTGTTTTGTTTTTTGAGAGTGTCTCACTATGTAGTTGAGACTGACGTGGAACTCACTATGTAGCCCAGGCTGGTCTCAAACCCACAGCGATCCTCCTGCCTCAGCCTCCCGAGTGCTGGGATTACAGGCATGTACCACCACTCCTGGCTTGTGGTTTTTTAAACTGTTCTGTCATCTATTCTTTTCCATTGGCCTATATGTCTATTTTGTGCCAGTATTATGCAGTTTTTGTTATCTTGGTTTTATAGTATATTTTGAAATCAGGTATTATGATGTCTCAAGCCTTGTTCTTTTTACTTAGGTTTGCTTTGGCTATTCTGAGTCCTTTGTGTTTCTTTTCTTTTGTTACACGGGATCAAACTTAGGACCTTGTGCTTTTGAGATAGGCAGCAGCACCACTGAGCTAAATCCCCAGCCCTCCTTCTCTTGTTACTTGCCTTTTATTTTCTATTTAAGATTATGCTCTTTTAGTATAATCTGGTGAAGGTCTTCTTGAGTTACTCCAGAAAACAAATTCACCAGATTGGCATTGGATATAAATGGTAATAGGGCTCTGTATGTCACTTATTGTATTGCTTTAAAATGTTTTCCCTAAGGCCTCAATTTCTTTTCTTTTCTTTTTTTTTTTTTGGTTTTTTGAGACAGGGTCTCACTATGTAGCCCAGGCTGGTTTTGAACTCACAGTGATCCTCCTGCCTCAGCCTCCCAAGTGCTGGGATTACAGGCGTGCACCACCACACCCGGCGCTCAATTTCTTAATAAAAGGAAATAATACCTATCCTATAGAATTGAGAACCAAATGTAACTGAGGTGTGTAAAGTTTTTAGCACTAATAACTGCTTAATGCTGGCTATCATATTTTCACTTGTAGTTTATGAGTGCATTAGTTTTTCCACAACCTCATCAACATTATTCTCAATTTAAAATTTTTATTTAAAAAATAAAATTTTATTTTAAAACAATGGGCATAAAAGTATACTGAAAAATAGACTGTTGCTGTTCCACTCCCTTCCTCCTTTCCTTATTCTTCTCCTTTCATCTTCAGTTGGAGATAGGAAGACCAAAAGGAGAAATTTTTTTTAAATTGGGCTCTTAAGGCATGCTGAATTTTCTTATGTAATCTCTGTTTATCAGACCACTAGAAAGGATGATCAAAATATATTAAAAATGGCTATTATATCAAACCTATGCCAAGTTCAACCTCTCAGCTCAATCCACTAACTTGTTTATTGAATACCCTAGTATTTATTGCACTGAAGTTATAGCTGTGAACAAGACACACTAGAGGAGTCTCTACCTATGGAGGTTTTGTGCCTTGGAGGGCGGCAGGGACAGTAAATGATTATGGAACTAGACCATATAATTTTGGATGGTGAGCAGTATGAAGAAAATCAATGATCTGAGTGACAGAGGGCTACTTTAGTTTGGATGCAAAGTGGCCTCTGTACAGATGACATCCGGGCTCAGCCATCAAAGACAAGGAGTGAGGCAGGAGACTGGCATGGCAAAGCCGGCTAGGGAAGTAGGCTTGACATGTTAATTACAAAATCTCAGGCAAAGAACAGTTTCTAAAGCCCTGCATGTGCACTTCTTGTGAGAACTTGAGCAGGCTTTCCATAAGTAGGCCTAGACCTGACCAAGGAGAAATACAAAAGGACAGTAGCTTCTGCTACTGTGATCTCTCACTGCAGGCCACCCTCGTCCTACAGAGTGTGTTCTTCTACTTTCACTTGGCCCAAACTCATCTACACAGCCTGATTTTTCCTACTTTTAATATATGTAAAACCTTGCTACCATTTGTGCTTGTCTTGACCAATGCTTTGTTCAGAAAAGAACACCAGAAAGAACCTAGAAAGGATCTCTTAAGGAGATTCTAGCGCTCAAACCCAGTGACAGGAGCAAGCCCCTTTCCCCATTAAGATGTGTTAGAATATTTTGGAGCAATAACAACTAGTGCTGGTACCAAAGGCCTAAAGAGATTTAATTTCTCAAGGAACAGAAAGGCATAGTAACTGAGGGGGAGTGGTACCGAATAAGGCAGGAGGTAGCCAGGGGCCAGATTTATGCATTTAGAGTGGGGAAACCAAGTGTGACTGATTGATAAGCACAAGGGCAATTTAACGGGCCAAGGCTCCGTGACAAACGAGCTGGAAGCTTGTGGCAGAACAGAAGTTAAAATTCTCGAGTTCTAACTTCAAGGAAGCGTTACTTACTGAACAAGCCTATGTGCCACGGTGTTCTGATGCTGACGATGGACAAAGGTCTCTTCATGAGTTTCACCACCTTGAACGGAGGGAAAACAAAAAACAACAACAAAAAAACAAAACACTACATATGATGGTTCTGAAGCCCTGGCTTCAAGGGCTAAGTACCTTCGAGACTTAGTCCAAACGCCCTACTAAAGGAAAATTAGTTTGTACTGCAACTAATACAGCCATATGAGCGGGGTGCCCGTCGACCTGTACCAAAAAGACACCCACACTTTCCTCCTCCTCCTCCTCTCCTTTTCCCGCTCTACACCCCCCCCCCTCTTGGCTCCCTCCCCTCAGTGGTCTCCCAGCTTTGACGCGCCGGCTGGAGCGAGCCTGACGTCAGAGGCGGTGCTTCAGGGGACGGGGCCGGGCCTCGGTTGGCACCTACTGCGTCTGCGCTGTGGGCCCTCCTCCTAACCCCCGCCTCCGCGTTGGGCTGTGTCCACCGGAATCTGACTTGTGCTTCCGGGTCAGAGCCATGGCGGTGGCAAATTCAAGCCCCGTTAACCCTGTGGTGTTCTTTGATGTCAGCATCGGTGGTCAGGTGAGATACGGGCGGCCACCCAGACCTGCGCTGAAGAGAAAATGCACCGGGCTGGCCAGGATGAACTCGTCATCTCAAGGAGAGGGGAATCTGGAAGCCAGAAAGTGAAACTACATCAGAGCCTACCGACATGGCTAGAGGGAGGAAGGGGGAGGAAGAGTCTGGCCCACCTTAGCTCTCGGCTTCTGGAGGGACTAGGCAGAACGAAAAGTTAGCCTGGGGAAACGGAGGTGGAAGATACCGAAAGGCCTTGGGAGGTGGAGAAGCCCGACTTGCTCCCAGCTCCGTAAGCCGTTCATAGGCATGGACTGAGCCTTCTGACCGTCTCCTGCCGTTTACAGGAAGTTGGCCGCATGAAGATTGAGCTGTTTGCAGATGTCGTGCCCAAGACAGCCGAGAACTTCAGGTAAGGAGATGCCCTACCTGTGCCGGAGTAGTCGAGCCAGAAGCCAGGCCCCATTCAGTCTGCAGAGTCGTCCAGCTCCCTCTGTCGTCCCCTCACTGCCCTTGAGATCTGGGCATTACTTCGTGTGACTGGTTACGGTTTTTATATTTTTCCCGTATCGACCTGTTAGTCTTATGCCTGGGTATTTAGACATCTGACTGACTGGTTAGTGGACTACAGGCTCCAATGCCTATAGCCCCTACAATCTTGAGATTAAAGGTGTCAGCAGCTGGGACGTCATGACGACTGACTCGTGCACTGTTTTCTTTTTTAGGCAGTTCTGCACTGGAGAATTCAGGTCAGTCTCAGATGTGTTTGACTTCTCTGCCTGAACCTGAGGAGTGTCCTGGGATGCAGTGAGGGTATTAGCAAACCATGGGCTGGTCTGTTACCCCAGGAGTCTACTCTTTTTTTTTTTTTTTTAATTGAGTTTATTGGTACAATCTAGGTATACAATACGGTTACATTCGTCATTGGGATTCTGTACCTTTACATAATAGGTCTTGAACTACTCTTATTTTATTCACCTTTTCTTATCTCTCCTTTCCCCATCACCTTTAGGAGAGTCCCTTTGACTCCAGTGTGTTGTAAACTAGAAAGGCCTGTGATTACCTGTCATTATTCCAAGTCTCTTTCTTTTTGGTTATAGAAAAGATGGGGTTCCAATAGGATATAAAGGAAGCACCTTCCACAGGTAAGGCTTCTGACAAGCCATTCTAGGGCTTTTGGAATAGTCATGGTAGCAATAGGGGATTGCTTCCAGATTCCCCCACCAATATTAAAATCTGTGAGTGCTTAAGTTTTTTATTTAAAATGCCAGTTGGGGTGGGGTTTCATGGTAGAGCATGGGCCTTGGCACTCATGATATCTGGGTTTCATCCCCAGCGCCATTAAGAAAAATATTTGCACATTTTCCTGTATTCTAAAGAACAAAAACATTTGCACATCCTCCTGTATCCTATTGATCATCCCTAGATTGCTTATAATACCTAACCCACTATAAGTGCTATGTAAATAGTTGGTATACTGTACTGTCGGAATATTGACAAGGATAAAAGATTTGTGCCTATTCAGTAGAGATTCAGGGTTCCTACTCCCTTAATATTTTTCCCTGCAGTTGGTTGCAAAGATAGGAAACCTGTGGATATGGATGGTCAGCTGTACTCCTTTAGGGGACTAGACTCTTTAAAAGAAAGTAAAAGCAAGCTTGGCATGGTGGGGCACACTGGGCAGGCTGAGGCAGGAGGACTGCCACCAGTTTGAGGCCAGCTTGGGCTACATAGTGGGTTCAAGATCAGCTTGAACTATATAGGGAGACCCTGTTTCACAAAACCAGACAAATGAATAACTGAAAGAAAAACCAGAAGTTAATTCTTAGATCTCAATAAGAAATGTTTTTACAGACAACTGGTTTGAAGATTTATTACATTTAGGGTTTTAAAAAAATACATTCACAGTCCTTGTGCATGTTTATATCTAGCTCATTGTTACTTATACCTACTTTTTTTGTGAGGGGGATCAAACTCAGGTCCTTGTACTTGCAAAGCAGGTGGCAGCACCACTGAGCTAAACCCTTGGCCCTTCTTTTTTGTTTTGTTTCTGGGGTTTTTTGTTTGTTTGTTTGTCTTTGGCTTTTGTTTTTTGAGACAAGGTCTCACTGTGTAGTTCAAGCTGGTTTTGAACTCAGCTCAATCCTCCTTCCTCTGCCTCCCAAGTGCTAGAATTACAGGCATGTGCCACCATGCCCAGCAGTTATACCTAGTTCTTAAAATGACAAAATATGATTGTCTAAGGATAATCCCATTCCCTCAGGCCATTGGAAGGGAAGTGTAGCTATATTTAGTCTCATCTTAATATAAAATTTGCCCTCTGGTCTCACTGTAGTAGTAATGATGTCAGCATGTAATTGTCAGCTTAAACAATAAGGATTCTCCAAAGAATAATGATATTTATTTGGGAATAGCAGGGCAATGCAATGTGAACACATGTGCCATAATAAGCTGCATATTTAAGGAGGTTGAGGCAAGAAAATTTTAAAGGCAGAAATGAAGAGGTTACATAAGATGTTTTGAATTAATAGTCCTTAACTACAAGGATCAATAACAAAAGTAGTTCTAGTCTCAAATTGACAGGTGGTTGCTGGACAGATGTTGTCACGTGCATTATATTTTATATGAAGTTGCATTAGCCTTTGTGCAAGGTTGTGGGTCTGGCAGACTGTTATGATAGTTACTGATATCTGGCCGTCATCTGTGAGAACACTTCCTTCATAACCTCCTAGTTTATTTGTTTTTGTTAGGGTTGATACAGAAACTGTTTTGATTCTGAAAACTTTCATATAACTCTTATCAAGAACTTCAAAGTTATGGTCCCCAGTTCTCAACAACCCTCCTATAAGGTAATATGCATTATCTACATTCTACAGAGGAGGAAACTGAGGCTAAGAAAAGCTAAGGACCCTGTGTAACGGCAAGCAGGTGTCATGTTTTGTTTTGTTTGAAACGGTGTCACAATGTAGTTCTGGCTGGCCTTGAACTCACTATGTAGCCCAGACTGGCCTTGAACTTGAGCTGTCCTGCTGCCTCAGTCTCTCAGAGTACTGGGATTACAGGTGTACACTACGCACTACCATACCCCGGTAGCCAACAGTTACTGAGCCTTTATGTACAGCTCATTTCACATATATTCTCTGTACTTTTCCTCAAAATTTACATTAAGCCTTTGGGCCTTGGTTAATATTTCAGTAGTTCTTCCTGCAGGAAGCCCCTTCCTCTTATTGTTTAGATACCAGATCATGCACTTATATTAACTCTGAGATGTCCTATTTAACATGAAAGCCTGTTTTTATGATTAGTGATCCTTTTAGCTGACTTGTTCCAGGAAAGAATAATTATTCTGTAAGCCAAGATGCTAAAACACTATAGTTTAGAATTGGTATTAATCTAATACTACAGTGACTAAGTTAATACTTTTCTAAATTGTAGACTTTTCTCTCAAGATCCTCTGCTCTCTCTTTCAGGGTCATAAAGGATTTCATGATTCAGGGTGGAGATTTTGTTAATGTGAGTGAGTACTATTCCATCTGATCAAAGATCCATAGGTTCAGTTTTTGTTGTTACTGCTGCCACCATTAGTTTTCCTACAGGAGGTCTTCAGAACAATAGCTAAGTTTGATGAGGAGAGGATAACCTTAGAGATTTTGTTTAAGGCCTTGAACAGTTGCTTTATTACCCAGACTTCAGTTTGCTCATCTGAAAAGCAGGGAGGATGATTATGCTTATTGCACAGGGTTGTTGGGAGAGCAAAAATAATAATAATGATAATAATAATAATAATAATAATAATAATAATAATAATAATAATAATAATAATGAAAATAAAGCTAGTTTAAGTAGAAAGTGGGACTTTATGATAAGATGAGTGTTTCATGGAGCCAAAAGAAGATATAGAACCAATAACTAGCCACATAGAACTAAGGTAGTCCTTTTTTTCTGTTTCTCTATTGTTCCCTACACATCTGTGCTCTGTCCTCGAGTCTACCTTGTGGAAGATAGTCACCTCCATCTTCTAGTTTCACATGATGCAAATTCAACCTCAGAGGGAGCATCTGTCCTACTTCCAGATTTCCAGAAAAGGAATTCTAGTTGGCTCATTGTGAGTTAGGTGTTCTTCCCTGATCTAGTCAGCTTTGGCCAAGAGGATGCTATTATGTACAGACCAGACTGTCAGGGGCTTACCCACCCTCACAGGCAGTTTGGAAAAGTCGGGTGCAGTCACTTGAGTGGGTACTTTTATGTTCTGTAGAAATGAGTGTCTTTGGGAACGTCAGGGATTGTATATGTGATCACCTGTTCTTTTGTTCCCTACTCTGCCTATCTTAACTGACATTTCTAGAAACACTGCTGTTACTCTATTATCCAGTCTGTGCCAGGCCCTGCCCAGTATTTGGGCTTGCAGGCGCCTTGCATGGGTCTTGCTTTGATTGCATGATAGGACCAAAGAGGTGTGGTTTTAGAGGTGATCAGTAACAGAGTAGACTTGGGTAGAGCAGTATTGGGGATTAAACTCAAGGTCTCATTCACACTAGGCACAGGTTCTATCACTGAACTACATCCCTAGTCCTTATGTTATTTTGAAACAGGATCTCACTAAATTGTCCAGGCTGACCTTGAATTTTGGCTTCTCCTATCTCAGTCTCCAGATTAGCTGGGATTACAGATGGACAATCACTATGCCTGGCTCCAATGTAGACTTTAAAGAAATTAGGCTTTAGGTGCAACAGTATACTTCCTTTGGTTTCTTTTACTCCAAGTTGCTAACACTTCCCTTCTCTCTACTCAGGGAGATGGTACTGGAGTCGCCAGTATTTACCGGGGCCCATTTGCAGATGAAAATTTTAAACTTAGACACTCAGCTCCAGGCCTACTTTCCATGGTAAGTGAGGTCCAATCAAGACTTTATATGAATTAAGAATTTAGGTGAGTATTAGTTGATTTCTGGGCCCTTGTTGAAGCCCCGCTGGACTTGTACCTCCTTCCCTAGCCCGGTTTGGTTTTGTTGGGCAGTACCTGCTAGCAGGCTAGGGAACCAAAACTGAGCTCTGATGTATTTCTTACCTTTATTTGAGCCAGGATGTGCAAGATTACTGCTCAAAATGCAGCCAGTTGTGCTGTCAAGACCTGGTGTTTACCTGCTCAGAGTGCTGTATGTCATGACTCATTGCAGCCAGGAACCCACACTGCCTGGTGACCACTCACTTTTTCTAACTCACTACTGAGCACCCCTCCTCCATTTATAATCCTGGCTCAGACATCTCAGTCCCATTCATGGTCCTGCGCCTTTCTCACTTACACTCCCTTATCTAACCCATGTCTGCTCATTCTCCTTGAAGTTAACTTTCCCTTGTTCACACCTCATCCATCCTTTCCCTTACTTCCTTCTCACTTCCTTCCACTGATTTCCCTCCATCAGAACTCCAGTTTTCACTTCCCTGGCCACAGTACTTTCATGTACATTCTCTGTCCTACATGCTCTTCACTCATCCCTTTAGGCTTTCATTAAGTAGAGATTTGCTCATAGCCACTCTGTTTTGGCCTCATGGTAAAGCATAAAGAACACAAGTATGATTCCCTGCCGTTGTGACACTTAACATGTAATGAGAAATGCACATCCAGAATACACCAGCCAGTGTGGTGTAGTAGTTGATATCAGTATATTAGGCTGGGGGCTCCCTAGTGTACATGGAAGGACTGCAAGGACCCATAGGAGTGGTGGTGATTGCTGTGGAGAAACCTTCACAAAGGGAAGAATACTTGAGTTTTAAAGGAATTCTGTACCAGATGACATGGAAAGAAAGAGCATTGTGAGTCCAGTAAACAAGGTCTGCACCCTTGCGGTAGGAAGGTGTTTTATTAAAGGACAAAAATTGATGAAAGTGATGAAGTGATGAAAACATAGGATGTTTAGCGGGAAGGGAATGCCCAATCAGCTGAAGGGACAAGTGGGCCGAACTCCTGAAAGGATTCAAATGACAGAAAAAGGGTGAGAGGTGTGGACTTTCATAGATTCTAGAGAGCCATATTGCACTTTTTTGAGCAACATTAATCAACTTTGTGTTTTAGAATGAAGACCCTGTCTCCTATGTTAGTGGCATATAAGGATGGAGAAGCTGGATTAGGGAAACAATTTAGGAGGTTGCCCTAATAATTGACAAAAAAGATAGGTATTAGACAGAGATAGATCTTTTCAAATAGGAAGAGAATCAAGAGATGGAGGAGGCAGGAAGGGGACATAAAAAGAATTAAGATGTGTTATGTACATGCACCAGCTCCACATGATGAAGGTAATCATTATATACTGTGCAAAGCATAGTGGCACACACCTGTAATCCCAGCACTTGAGAGGCTGAGTCAGGAGGATCACTGAGAGTTGAGGCCAACCTAGGCTAGTCTGAACTACATAGTAAGACCCTGTCTCAAAAATAACAAGAAAGAAATCATATACTGCCAACATATACTATTAAAATTTTTTAAAAATTAAAAATTGGGCAAGACTAGTTTAGCAGACAGTTTGCAAGCCCCCTTTTAGGAGAGCCAGGCTGGGCAAATACAGTTAAAGATTGCAGAAGCAATCTTAAATGGACTCAGATCTTTGCTACAAGCATTAGAACACCTCTCTGCATGCCACAATGTTAGCATCTGTGGAGGAGTCAGGAAAATGGAAGGAAGCCCTGGTCTCTGCTACCTTCAGGCTGGCACTTGCTAAATTGTGCTGTCACGTGTCTTATGACATAGTTGGTTTTTCTCCCATCCTCTGAGTTTTTTAAGGTCAGAAACAGGTCTCATTTGTCTCCAGACCCTACCACCTAACATAGGAAGGCTGCCAAACACATATTGATGAGCAACAGAATGGTTATCAGAATAATAGCTGACATGATGGGATACTTGTCAATAAGTGCCTTACCTGCCTTAATTCATTTTAATACACTCAGACATCCCTTTAAGTTAGGTAATGAGGAAACCGAGGCATGGAGAGGTTAAATGACTAAATGAAGGCCACGTAGTGGTGGAACTAGAGTTTAAGCTAGGTCATCTGGCTACAGATTGTCCATAAACATAAGCTGTACCAACGAGAAAAATAAATAAGTATCTAAGAGCTGAGAGTTCAGTGAACTACAAAAATGTGTCCTATGTGGTGTAGCTCAGTAGTACAGCACTTGTCTAGCATGGCCAAGACCCTGGATTCCATCCTCCATACTGAAAAAATAATTATAAAACAAAATGTGTTGTATGAATGTTTTAGTGTCTGTTTGCTAACAGGTGATCATACATGGGCAGGAAAATAAAGATGTGGAATTAGGGTCCCCTGGGAATTCTGTCCCTTAAATTTCAAAGTTTGGGTTTACACTAGCCAGTTCCAGTGCTCCCTTAATTTCATACTATACAAACACCAAAAATAGCCTTCTTTTACTCCATTCATCTTAGAAGAGCCAAAAATAGCCTCATGTTACATGGGATAGTCCTAAAGTATAATATAAAGTCCCTAATTAGAGATCATCCCTAGACATTGTATTGCTTATATTATATATGCATTTTTTACTTCATAATTAAACATAGAATCAACCATTTTAAACTCATTAAGCATCTGATTAAGACTAGTGACCTACCTATTTATTATAAGTTCTAGTTTTGTTTTCAGTAGTTTTTTGGTTTTGTTTTGTTTTGGTACCAGGGGTCAAACTCCGGACCTTGTGAGGCAGTCAGAGGAACCATTGAGCTAAATCCCGAGCTTTGTTGCAGTAGTTTTAATTTTCTGCAATTTTGTTTCCCTTAGTAGTAATAGCATTTTCTGTTTTCCATTTTCTACTCATTTTTCCCCAGAATATGCAATAAAATCTTCACATAGTTACACAGACATTTTTGTAAGGCACTACTAATAAAACTGGAGTTCACTGATATATGAAAGCCTGAATTTAGGATATCAAAGGCATTTTATTGTTATCAGTATAAATGTACAAAAGGAGACTTCACATGAAAATCAAATATTTGGAAAGTATCACTCTGATGTAAAAGCATATTCTTTTATACATTATTATACAATGCTTTAAAAATAAATTTGATGCAGAATATTCACACCAGGGAAACTATTTGGTATTTACACATATGGGACTTATTTATTTCACTTAGGAGTATATCTTCAATATGTATCCATTTTCCTATGAATGAATCTATTCTCTCGCTCTTTATGGCTGAGTAATATTCCATTTTATAGAAAAACCACAACTTCTTTATCCAGTTTCCAACGGATGGGCAAATAGGTTGTTTCCAAGATTTAGCTATTACAAACTGTGCCGCTATAAACATGGGTGCACATACTTCTCTGTGATATGATTCTTTTAGTTCTCTTGGAAAGATACCCAACAGAGGGATGGCTGGGTCAAATGGAACCTCCAGTCCAAGCTCTTTGAGGTATCTCCATATTGATTTCCATAGTGGTTGCACTAGTCTGCACTCCCACCAACAATGGAGGAGGGTTCCTTTCTCCCCACAACCCCGCCAACATTTGTTATTGTGTGATTTCTTGATAGCAGCCATTCTTTGTGGGGTGAGGTGGAATCTCAGTGTTGTTTTCATCTGCATCTCTCGAATGACCAGTGATGTGGAACATTTTTTCATATATTTTCTTGCTGCTTTCACTTCTTTGTATGAGAAATGTCTGTTCATTTCGGATGCCCATTTTTGGATCGGGTCTTTATATTTGGGGGGACTGATTGTTTTGAGTTCTTTATATATCCTTGATAATAGTCCTTTGTCTGAGGTACAGCTGGTAAAAATTTTCCCTGGTGTGAATATTCTGCAACAATGCATAAGATTCTAATAAGATTACTGACATTTAGAAATGGGAGGAAAGGAGCTAAAGGTGTAGGGAAGGTGTGATACGTAGGGGAAGAACAAAAAGGGAAAAGAAAAAAATGTGAGAGAATGAAAAGATGAAAATAAAGTGTTTGTAGATGGGGAGGGGAGGAGGGGGTGAAGGGAGGGCAGAGGTAAGGGGAAAAAAATGAGAATCAAGACTTGCCATGTAAAGGTACATGATCCCAACAATGAATGTAACTGTACTGTATCCCTAAAGTGTACCAATAAACTCAATTAAAAAAAAATAAATAAATAAATAAATTTGAGGGAGGAAAAGGATTTTCTGCTTAAAAAATGCTTTTCCCTGTAAAATGTAGTAATAGAAAGTTTTGGGTGATGACTAGCTTTGCAATTTCATACACCTTCTTACCTTTTTTTTATTGCTATTTTTATAATAGAGTACAAAGCCGTTTAGACAAAACAGCTTATTGCATGGGCAACAGGTCTTTCCCCGAGTTGTAACTATAATTCACTTATAATCAATTTTGGACAAAATATACCAAATCATATCCCATAAAGAATTTTCCCATTAAAAAACTCACACTGTAGGAAAAATGTTCATTTATTGAAAGATCTGGCTTCTAAAAACTAGTGGTGTTATGCATTCTGTTCATCTCTATTCTTGTGTCCCTATTTAGGACCTGGCTTATAATAGTTGCTCAGTCAGGTTTGTAGGAAAGTATGGAGGAGTCAGGGCTATAGACTTTTGGGAATCTTGCCCTTCAGCTCACATGGCCAGGAAAACTTACTGCAAGTATATCCTGTTTCTGTCAGGCAAACAGTGGTCCCAGTACAAATGGCTGTCAGTTCTTTATCACCTGCTCAAAGTGCGATTGGCTGGATGGGAAGCACGTAGTGTTCGGTAAGTCCTACTCCTGTCGCATTGTCCAGGTCCCACTCTCACTAAGATTGTTCAGCTGGGGCCAGGGATTTAGCTCAGAGGTTCCGCCACCTGCCTCGAAAGTGCAAGGTCCTGAGTTTGATCCCTGGTACCAAAAAAAAAAAAAAAATAGGGAGAAGGACCAGGGGCCATCTGATCTACTATGTAAGTACTTTGGTAATATGTATTCTAAGGGAAAACCCAGATTATAGCACCAAGGAAATGCCACAGAGGCAGCATGGTGCAGGTGGCTTTGGAATTGGTCAAAACTGAGCTTGATCTCTAAATCAACAGTTTAAACCTGTGACCTTGGGCAAGTCCTTGCACCTCACTGAATGTCAATTTCTTTTTTTGTTTTGTTTTGTTTTGTTTTTGGTACTGAGGATCAAACTCAAGTCCTTGCACTTGCGAGTCAGGCTCCGGAACCACTGAGCTAAATCTCCAGCCCTGAATGTCAATTTCTTGAAGTTAGTAGGAGGATATAGTGAGACTATATCCTAAAAATAGGTATTGAAGCTGAGCATTGTGCTGCATACCTGTGATCCCAGCACTCAGAAAGCAGGAGGATCATAAGTTCGAGGCCATCTTGGGGACTATCATGAGATCCTGCCTCAAAAGAGCAAATCAAACATAAAACAATGGGCATTAGGAGTTGGAAAGTGATATACAAATGAGAAAAATAAAATCTACCTCATATTCTTCCTGCAGGAAAAATCATTGATGGACTTCTGGTAATGAGAAAGATTGAGGTAAGTCCGCTTGGGTGTTGGTCTCAGTCTTTCTGGTCTGATGCTATCTGACTAGCAGTGAGGAGCTGGAGGAGGGTACATGGGCTCCAGATGGTTAGGCCCAGTCTCCCTCAAAAAGGACGAGAGACAATGTGCTTCTCAAGTGTTCTACCTCTGTGGCCCACACTGAGGTTTGGCCTCTAAGGAATCCTTCACTTACTTGATAAAACTCCACCCCTTAGCACTGCATTCAGAATCCTTCATGATCTAACTCCTGCCTTTCTGTGGCCTCTTCACCTGCTACTGCCTCCCTGGTATTTCAGCCACGTTGGGTTACTCGCTCTTTTTTTTTCTTTCGTACTGGGGATCGAACTTGGGTCCTTGAACTTGCAAAGCAGGTGGCAGAACCACTGAGCTAAATCTCCGGCCCATACTCACTCTTGTTTAACACACTGTTCATGTACCTGCCTCCTGCTTGTTCCTGCCCTTGAGTCTTTGCTCATGCTGTTTCTCCTGCCTAAAATGCTCTCTTTTCCTCCTGGTGGGATCCCATACATCCTTCTAGCCCAACTCAGCGTCCCTCTTCTGTGAATCCTTCCTTGCTCTCTTTCAGCACTACTTTAGTTACTCTCTCATACCTTATTATTATTGTTATGTATCAAGGCTTAATATTTTCTGAAATGTTTTACATTTTCTCTTTGGTTTGTATTACACATATGCCTTTCCTGCTGCTAGGACATTGGTGAAGGCATTGGTGAAGGCTCAGTGAGGAAGTAACCAAGGGCCTGAGTGGATGAGTCTCTATGTGCTTTTTTTTTCTAGAATGTTCCCACAGGCCCCAACAATAAGCCCAAATTGCCTGTGGTAATCTCACAGTGTGGGGAGATGTAATCCCAACCAAGACTGAATCATGAGTCAGGTAAGTGTTCCTTTCTCCCATGGGTTAGGAGTCACACCCTAGAGAAGTCAGCATGTTCTAGTGGAAAGAACTTTAGACTCAAAGACATGAGACTGAGCCTATTTCCTCTCTCTATGACCATAGAGAAAATTACTGTCTTCTCTGAGCCGGTTTCCTCATCTGGCAAAAGGAGTGAATACTTATATCTAATCATTGTAAGGATCAAAAGATAAAAGAGATTTAGCTCAGTGGTTCCACTGCCTGCATCAGTCCTCAGCACCAAAAAAAAAAGATAAAAGTTTATAAAAGCACTTTACTTTCTACCACATCATAGTGTAGCAACCTGAAAACCACTAGGGCAATTTCTCACGGTACTGTCAAACTGTAGTTCCACTCGGTAGACAGCTACTGTAGAAGGTAGCTGGCTTCAGTCCTGGGTGACTCGTGGGACTAGCCTGTTATCTGTCATGCCTCTCTTTAGAACGGACAATACAACTCCGAGCCCTGACTTTGTGTTTGCTGCCCTTACAAGTAGACACTCACATTGCTTAGCTTACAGGACGCCCTTCCTACCTATCCTTGCCACTGTCTTCTCAGTGCTGGGCAGCACACAGGAGGAATGCTGTATACCTTCCACCCAGATCACCAGTGATTAGCATTTTTGTTCTATCCTTTTGACTTGATATTTGTTCTGGCTTTGCCCTCTTCCCTCGTCCCATTCCTCTCTCTTTGGTCATCTTGCTCCTCATCTTACTTCCCTCCCTCCTTTCTCTTTCCTTTATCTCTTTGTTTCCAATTTTAAAATTGTAGACTTCTTGACACTTTATCCCTAAATACTTCAGGAAGGAACTCTTGAAAATAATTATATTTTGCATAACCACAACACAATTATCTAGTGTATAGTATATGTTTGAACTTCTCAGTTGTCCTCAAAGTTATAGCTTTAAAAAAAAAGATCCTAGCCACATGTGGTAGCACACAGCACTCTTACAGTTGCAGCTACATAAGGGCCAACAAGGCAGGAGGATTAGTTGAGCACAAGACTTCAAGACTAGCCCAAGTGACGTTGTAAGACCCCTTCTCAAAATGGGATAGGATAAATTCAAGAGAAGTTATAATGGTCCTACATGTCATTTGTTTTTAATTATACAAGTAGCATAATATGATTTCTTTATGAAACCTTTCACACCAAGAGATAAAGTGAAAGTCCCCCTTGATAATACCCCACTGCCAGCCTGATATATGTTCATCAGGACATATTCTTTGCCCATCTAATGTTAAGGGAATTTGTTTTTCATAAGTGACATCATATTGTATCCCTCCCTCTTTTTGTTTTTTGTTTGTTTGGTTATTTTGGGACAGGATCTCACTATGTAGTTGAGACTGACCTGAAACTCATTATGTAGCTCAGGCTGGTCTCACAGTGATCCTCCTGCCTCAGCTTTCCAAGTACTGGGATTACAAGCATGCACCACCACACCCAGCATTGTTTCTTTTTTTTTTTTTTTTTTTTTACCAAGGATCAAATTTAGGACCTTGTACTTGTAAGGCAGCACCACTGAGCTAAATCCCCAACCACTGAAGACTTCTTTCTTCATGTAAAACTCTCACATAAAAGCAAACCAAGGGCCAGGGATTTAGCTCAGTGGTTCTGCCGCCTGCCTTGCAAGCACAAGGACCCAAGTTCGATTCCTGTATCAAAAAAAAAAAAAGCAGAATACATTTTCAGCAAAAGCTGGCATTGCGTGTTACTTATATGATGTCTTCTGTTAAATTCTAAATTTTGATGTGGTAAAAATTATCAATCCCTTAGGGCTTTTCTGCTTTGTCTTATATAAGAAGTCAATACCTTAAATCATAATATCTTTGGGCCGGGGATTTAGCTCAGTGGTTCCACCGCCTGCCTTGTAAGCACAAGGTCCTGAGTTTGATCCCTGGTACCAAAAAAAAAAAAAAAAAAATCATAATATCTTCTGCATTTTTTGAGTATTTCTATAGTAAAAAAAAACTTTAGTAGAGTTAAGAATTTATTTTTCTGTGTGGTGTAAGATAGAACCCTGATCTTTTATTCCAAATCTAGTGAGATACCAGACCACTTTAATGACCATACAGAACTTCATCTCTAACATACTTTGTGTTCAAAGCACTTACAGGCATTTATTAAAAGTGTATTACATGAGAGAGCAGAGAGGGAGAATGTCAGGCATTTTAGGCAGGAACTGGTGTGAGCAAATGTGGGGTAGGAATGCACAAGTGTGTACTGGGGGCCGCATGTGGACCTCTATGTTGTCCAGCCAGATGGTCCCTTCTTAGGCCCAGCTGATACCCCACACCTTCCTTTCTGCCCGTACCTGGGCCCTGTTCGTCCCCTTCAATAGCTGCTGTCCGTTCCCTCTCTTTCCCACTCGTTTCTTTGCTGTGACTCCATTTGAGCCATAGGTCCTTTTCCTTCTGAAGATTGACCACTGATCATTACTAGAGTTTAGAAGATAGCAAAAAGAATAAAGTTTAGAATCCTCTTTTCTGTATGTTTGAGTCCTTCCCAGAAAGTTACAAAAGTCCATGTTGAGGGTTTTTGGAGGGTGAGGATCATTAACCTGCCTTTCTTGTCCTACTATTAAAAAAGTCATGTGAATCTCTGTCCCCATGAAGTCTCTTCTTGTCAACCTGCAACCCAAGTAGAATAAATTCCACAGGTGGCCTTTTCACAATCCAGAAGCCCCCTACACCAAGACTGCTCAAGAGACAGTCCTTTCTGTAATAATGGAATTCCTCCTGTCTGGACTGTCCAATATGGTAGTTGTCAGCCACATGAGACATTTGAGTACTTGAAATGCGGCTCAGAGGGGCCCAAGGGGAATGTGTGACTGAAGAACTCAACGTTTAATGTTTTTACATTTTAATTTTGAAGAGTTATTTGTGGCTGCTGTGTCAGACTGAGCTGTAAACTCAGGTTGCCTCCAATTCAGTTTCCTAACAATGACTTGCTCAAGATACTGTATCTAACAGCTAATACTTAGGGTTTATTGTGTACTTCTTATGTCCACATATTAAATTAAAAATTTCGCCTGACCAAAGAATCTGCTTTTAGCCAGGTGTGGTGGCATACTCCTGTAATCCCAGCACTCAGGAGGCTGAGGCAGGAGGATCACCATGATCCAGTTTGAACTACATAGCAAGACCCTGTCTTGAAAAATAAAACACAATAAGTCTTCCTTTACTTTACTTTTTAATTTTTTTATATTTGGGGTTTCTCATATAAGAAAAACCATTTGATGTTTACATTTTGAGAAAGGAAAGATGAGGGAAAGGAGCAGGAGAAAAGGGATTAAAAGTTATCAGGATAGTGCTGGGGATTTAGTTTAGTGGCACCACACCTACCTTGCAGTGCAAAGACCTAAGTTCAATCCCTGAATCCCTGGTAC